AAGCCAATGAAGGATCTAGCAAACTGGAGACCCAGGAAGATGATCAATCGGAGAATGATGAGAATGCCAACCATGGAGGTTCCCGCAAGTCAAAAGCCACCAAGTCGAAAGCAAAGGCAGCTCATGAACCGAAAAGCAAGAGAACCAGAAAAACCAACAAGAAAATAGAGCAGGAAGATGAAGCTGAGGAACAGGAGGATCAAGAGGAACCACCCCAAGAACCAGAAACCGAACATCCAGTTGAGGAATCGCTCACGATTCCAGACACAAGGCAGGGCCGTGTGAAGGAAATGATCAAGTTTGCAAAGGGATTCAAAGGTATGGCTGAATGGGATGCCAAGATGCTGATGAGGGGACGGTTGGCTAGCATTTATGCATGTCGCATGAATGTCTACTATGAGCGGCCAGCTGTGGGGTTGACATGCCGGGCGGAAAAGAAAGACTTTGCATATTTCGCCAGCAAGAATGCCAATGTGTCCAAGACATTTCGCATGGCAGCAGCACTGAAAGCAGCTGAAATGTTGGCACCTTATCTTAAATCATTTTTTGGACAGAAAGTGACCCAGTAAAATGATCGAGACAAATATATCTTTAAAAAAAACTAAGGAATGTTAAGGATATACATTTTTTAGTATGATATATGTGGTGAGTCGTGTCAAGATATTTCTGTCTGTTGTTCCCTCAAAGGTTTGGCTTGTATATTTATCCAATTCCCATCCACTCACCCTGCTTCTCTTAAGGCACGCTTTGTGGACGAAGTGAAGCAGCGCAAAGGAGTCAAGAAGGATGACAAGATCACAGAGAACACTGCTGTGAAAAGCATGTATGAGCAGTTGAAAGAAATTTTTGCTGATGTCGTGATCATCATGGAGACCAAGTCATGGTCCACCGAATCCTAGTGCAGTGTTTCGTTTTGTATCTCTTAGCTATGTGGGTTGCGCCAACATAGGCATATCGATGCGCTTTTGTGTGAATGTGTGGGGTGCAAGGTGATACCATCTTGCATGGGGATGCACATGTGCCACGGTGTATATAGATTGCAGGTTGCGCGCTACCACTCAGAAGCCGGCTGCATTTTTGGCCTGTCTTCTTTTCAGTCCATCTTACAGGAGTTCAATTTCTGAGACATCAAAGCTGGTTGCTCGTTTCAACAAATTAGTGCCATCTTACCTAAATGATTCTAGAAATCGAAAAGATTTTTTTTCAAAGCATAGCTTCATGCCATGTTCATTCCAGTTGTTGGTTGATAGCACCAGCTGCGTTCTCTGCCAAGACTATGGCTCTCGTGTTGCGTCAAGATGCCAAGATCAAGGATTTCGCGAAAGAAAAAAGTTGGCTGTCACATCTCGAAGAGGATCTTAGAAAAACACTGTTCCAAAGTCCATCTTGAATTCTGAATTCTTTAACGTCATCATCACATTGGGAGCCAGAAACCATTGGAAACCTACAAGAGAAACTGACTTATATATATATATAGTTGGTGCACTTAGATTTGAACCACCTTTACATCATAAATTACATCCTTAGAATCCCACCACTGATCACCACTGGCATGTACTGCCATGCACTCGGTGCCTGAGGTCAAGCCAGTGGCGTCTACGTAGGCGTGGCAGCCTGTGGCAAGAGCGTGTCAAGCATCTCAAGAAGTCTTGTATTCCAGACATGTTTGCTACACACATCGATTTGCTATTTCGAAAGTGCTTCTGATCGCCACAGCAAACAAATTCCATGCATCAATTTCAAATCGACCCGCAGCCATTCTTGACTGGTGCATTGATAAAAAAATAAAAGACCATATATACAGGCATTGCCATGAGCGCATTGGAACAAAAAAAGATTTTGAATTTGGAATATGATCTTCCACTCACATTTTGCGTGGTCTTGTGAGTCAACATTTGCAATTCTACGATTGGCTCATTGCCATGAAGTACCTTGATTGCGCTGCTTTGGCGTCTTTACAAGCTTAGAGATATAAGGAGAGTTCGGAATAATTTAAGGGGCCCAGTCATCATGAACATGTGATAAATTACTGGGTATATGACCATTATTGGTATTCTCTGTCGTATATATAGATCTTGCAATCTTTGCCGAATTGCACATGGATCGTTGTGCCCGTGCTGTTATGTGGCCACCCTGGTTGTGTGCGCACGTCGAATGACTTTGCCATCCACTGGGCATGAAATGCGCATCGTGGTGTGTGTGTGTGTGGTGTTCACGTGGTGTGTTGCGTCGGTGTGTGTGTACCCCTGTGTGTTGTATGTGTGTTGTGTGTATGTGTGTTGTGTGTTGTGTGTGTTGTGTGTTGTGTGTTGTGTGTTGTGTGTTGTGTGTGTGTGTTGTGTGTGTGTTGTGTGTGTTGTGTGTGTGTTTTGTGTGTTTTGTGTGTTGTGTGATGTGCGTTGTGCGTTGTGCGTTGTGCGTTGTGCTTTGTGCGTTGTGCGTTGTGCGTTGTGTGTTGTGTTGTTGTTGTTGTTGTTGTTGTTGTCGTTGTTGTTGTTGTTGCTGTTGCTGTTGCTGTTGGTGTTGTTCTTGTCGGTGTTGGTGTTACCCCTGCAGCGTTTTTGCTCGGTTCCGTAGTGGCCGAAAATCGTCAAATCGGTGGTGTTTTCGCGTGTTTTTGCATCGCTCGGAGCAAAAAACACCGTAAATACCAATGTTTTTGGCGGGTCGGAAGCCCAAAACCACGGTATTTACGATGTTTTTTGCCTCTGGTAGTAAAAAGCACGGTATTTACAGTGTTTTTTGGCCAGCACCTAGCAAAAACACTGGTATTTACGGAGGTTTCACCATGTAGCAAAATGTGGTTTCTTGATCCGAAAAGAGCAAAAATACTGTAAATTACAATGTTTTGAGTCTGCTCTTAGGGTGCGTGGGAGGTGTGGAGGGGGGGGGGGTTACTAAAATGACTAGCAATCTCCTGAAGAATCAGGGAACGGGGCTGGCCGCCCTCCCCTTTACTTCGTAAAGTAAAACTCAAGGTAGCCCCTCTGGAGCTACCTTTCGTGATATTCGAACCATCCGGCTTCCCAGGATATATCCGATGCCTTTCGCTCGCGAGTACTGCGACATGATCGAGGAGATGAAGTCGAGCTGCTCGGGTCAGCCTGAGTTGCCACAGGTGCTACCACCAGGTGTAGTGACTTTTTCTTGGCTGAAGGAAGCTGATACCACAATTTGGCGAGCAGCCGATTTGCCAAATGTTTTCAATTATTTACGACGAAGTAAAAGGTTGCAAATCCCTCAGGATTGGCAGCATTTAGTTCCAATGGCAATGGATGCCTAGTGTTTCTCAGGTATGGTGTCTTGGGAATCGGACTCAAATGATGGTTTTTGCACTACATACCACGAATTATGTAAGATTATGTTGTTTTTTTCAAAAATATCAAAGGGTTCGGAATTAAACCCGTGCCAAACCCGTGCCAAACCCGTAATTTACCCGTGCTAACCCCTAATTTCGGATGGAAAACATCGGGTTTGTACTAAAACATCAGGTTTTCCAAACCCGTGCCAAACCCGTGTCAAACCCGTAATTTACCCGTGCTAACCCGTAATTTTTTTTAGGGGTTCGGACACCTCTGGGAAGCCTAGTTTTGCATCACCAAAAGCTCGTTCGAACCAGATGTTTGTTCAGCTGGATTGCCCGCTGCAATCGAAATTAAGTCTTTCAATTCGAAGGCTTCTGACAAATGCCTTTGGCACTTCAGGCGTGTGGGTAAAAATAGCAATGATCACGGAATTCGAACAGCAAGATGTCAGTTGATTAATATGCATGGATCGTTCAAACTCAACCATTTGTTCGATGTGCAGAATTCCAAAAATCAACTGGTTGATTGCATGATGGTTCAAGGTGTCTGGAAGTTTGGTTTAGATCGGAGCCATTGCCATCCAGAGTGGTTGGCCATGAGTTCGCAAACCCTTGGCACTAGCTGTGGTACCTTCCATGATGGTGTGCAGTACCTGGAGTATAATGCTGAGGAACAATCCTTGCTACTTGAACTACAGGACCCCTGTGAATCTTATCATGGTTGTTTTGGGTTACTCGAATGGGCATATCCTTTGCTCTCTAGTACAAAATGTTTCATTGGCTCTACAAGTGCGAATGCCAGGAGGTTGATGCACAAATAGAACACCTTCACCTGGAAGCTGGTCAAAAGGTTGACCCAGAACCTACCACTCCTGTCAGTGACTAAGTTTTTTTTTCAATAATGCCATTTCTAAACCAGCCGGTGCTTGAGGCCGAGAGTCCTTGTGTTGGCGATGCAGAAGAAACTGTGCCAGCCAATACCTTGGTGAAAATCTTTATGGGACATCATGGCTGCTCATTGCGATACATGTGCATCAAATAACAATTGCTGTGGGCATTGAACACTTCCTTTGAGGGTATTAACGCATTGATGTTTTGAATTGCTTTACAACTCCAAATTGCCAAGGCCTCTGAAATGGAGATTGAAGCATTCCATCAGAAGGTGCTGTTATTCAATCACTTGGCACTGTCAGGGATATCATGACATCTTGTTTGGTCAATACTGTTCTTTGATGGTTCCAAAATGATAGATGTCTAGATTTTTATCACAGCATGGTTGGCTCAGGCAGTTCAACCATCTCAAGTTCATCCAGTCCCAACTCCTGTTCGAAGTATTGTGCAAGCGCCAGTTCTTGAAGAACCGGAGACACCATGTACAAGTGGACCACTAGTGACAGCGACATCGCCAGTGAGTGAGGCAACAACACCGGTCCCTGACCCAAAGCCGGATGGTGCCAGGGAACCAAGTGCTCCAAGTGCCGCTGCAGAACCTAAGGAACCTGAGGAACCGTTGACATCGGGCATGACCAAGCGTAAGGCCATGGGCGTGGTCAAACTTGGGTGATTCAATGCATTCACATATATAGCATGCAGGTATATTATTTAGCAATATATATAGATGGACACGACATGAAACGACCATATCGATTTATAGGATTTCTCACGTTTGTCACCCTTGCATTTGTCACCCTTGCAAATGGACTTACGAAGAGCTGCCAAAGCACGTCTTTCGAGATGGGTCAAACCCAAAAGCAAGCGTGTCGAGCTGAATGCACCCGAGTTTGTTCGAGAGCAGTGGGAAACTGGCAACAAAAATGTCATTGCCGATGTGTTCTCCAAAGTGAACTTCAACCAGGATTGATTTGGGAAATACATCATCGTAAAGTAGAGGGCTTCTCAACATGAACTGATTTGGAACTTCCATCACAATTTGATATCAAGTTTGCTCTTAACAGGTGTATGAGTTTATTGTTGAATCTCTATACATGTATAACCAGGAGATCTTCGTGAACCAGCTGCGCATCCTTGTGCAGAAGAAGAAGTTGGTGGAAGTCACCATTACCGAAGGTTGGTTTTCTGAGCAGGAACTCTCATCTGACTTTGGTTGGAAGCAGTGCATGTCTCAGTTGACAATGAACCAATTGCATCATACAATAACTATACCAGTTGGCAACACCAAGTCTTCAGCAAACTATTAAACTAAGTAGTGACTTCACATTCCCAAGGAACAAGATTGACGGTGCCAAAGCAAGATGCAAGGCGCTTGGTGATTCGCATTTCAGGCCAGCTTGATGTCTTACTGTATATAGTCCATTATAGTCCATGCAGAATTATTCACACAACTCTTTCCAATGTCATTGCGATTCATATGGAACATGCCCCATGGTCCAAAACAATCACTGATCAAAGTTTATTGCCAATGCCACTCCAAAGGCACAACATGTATGACGGATCGGAAGAGTTCTGGGTGATCATCAAAGAAGAAGGTCGCAGACAGGACTCACTTGCGTACGAGGAAACCCATGAGAAGAAAGCCAAGGCTGGAACAAAATTGTATTATCATATGTTGTTCTCTGAAACCTTTTGGCATCAATTGTTTGATTCCTTCGTTCAACCAGGCCGAAGGTGACCCTCAGTTCGCCTTTGGAACGTCGTCTCTGGCCCTAGATGCTGCCCAGAAGCGGGATGCTTCGGAGAAGCAACGCATTGCGGACAAAGAGCCTGAAGTGGAATCGAAGTTTGGGCAGGTCCGGATTGGGTGTTAGTGTTGATATTGGTGAATTGGTATCTGCAGATTTGCAGTTTCACATTTACCCTCATCATTCTATGTTTACTCTTTACCAACGCCAGACCAAAGAGAAGTTCAAGAAGTTCAAGAAGTTCATGGAATCAATGCTGCAGAAAACGGGCCGTTTGAGATCGTTGGTGAAGGAATTGAAGACCAAATTCTCGGAGGATGATGGAGCCAAAGAGTATCTTGATCCACATGTATATATATAATATATATACTATATATATTATATTATATTTGTAACCCTGGACATATGTAGATGGTAGAACACGTCAGTTGAAGTGGCCAAGTGATCCCAGCACTTCATAGGTTGTTTCACTTACTTCAAGTCACTGCCAAGGTGCCTTGCATCACTCCAGAATGAGATCAAGAACCTGGATCAGCAGTATGACAAGTGCCAGGAGCAATGGTGCATTGGGGAGGCACAAGGCTTTTTTACGGAGAAGTTACTTGTCACAATTTCTTATATGACGAGGCTTTGCTGTCCAGGCTTCGCTGTTTATCAACTTGTATATATACATTGTGACTCATGCCCCAAGACTGGATGATAGTTTACTTCAATTTTGGGAACACCTTCTTGCAAAGGTTCTACACCGGCGCTGAAGATGCCATGAAACATGCAACCCTGGCGTGTGGAATCCCAGACACATGATCCAAAGTTCCTTGAGACCAAACATCTAGATTTATGTAAGAAAGCCAAATATTTATCTGCAATTTGTAAACCCGAAGTAGCATGTGAATATAACATTGGTCTTCCATATGTATATCTTGACCCAAGCCCTGCATGTTGCCATGTTTTGCCAAGGTGCTCAAAGGCCGTTGCAGCGGAGATGAAAACAAGGCGCAACATCATCATCCTCGGTGGTGTCTTTTGCTAAATGGAAAACATATATACGCAGACCATTGTTTGAAAATGTTTGAAATACACTCACCGGGTTGTATACTATTTTGCTGCCCCTTCAGTCGACTTATGGCGCAGGAACCAAAAGAAGTTCTTCGAGAGGAAGGACTGCGATGCCCTGACCAAGCCAAAGGAGAAGAAGGAGAAAAAGGACAAGGAGGAGAAGAAGGAAAAGGATAAGGGTGACAACAAAAGACCTGCGAAGAACAATGATCATGATGATGCCCCCCCCCAAGAAAACCAAAAAGGTCAAAAAGGATAAGTGATCGACTTGACTAGCAAAAGGCCACAAGGGTCTATGGTTGGTTTGGTCATGGCGTGGAGTTGACCAAATTTCTTAACACAATGAAGCGTGTTGCTCATAGACCAATCACATCTGCAAATGCTTTCCGTTGATTGGAATATTTTGTTAGTTGCTTCTATTTAGTAGAGTTGTATTTTCATCAAACACTGGTATCAGCAGACTTGGCAGAGCTGTTGAACACGCTTAAAAGTGTTTTCAGTCCATAAATTCTGGGTTGGCTGATTGCGACATGAAACACGCAATCAGGGATTGAGCTTTGACTCAGCTACATGTTGCGAAATCTTTGAGGGAAAAAAGGCTTGCATGCCAACCGGCTGTTAGCTGACATGATTGATTCAGTTTTGCAACTTTGATTCTTCAACCAGTCTTGTTTGATTCAAGTATATGCGTATGATATTCAACACACACTGGGCCAGGTCCAAAGCCAGGGAACACCATCAAGGGCTTCGCCAGCCGAATTGGTGATGGCGTCCAGAGCTCAACCTGATCTCTGGGGGAAATAGAACGATTGAAAGCATGCTTAACTTATACATGACCTAGCCACAACCCAAGACCTGTTCAACCTTAGCCGGTGTTGGCTCAAGGGTTTATCATGCCATTTTGGCTTCTTCCAATTTCAATGCGCAGCCATGAGTGATGAGAGTGTAGATGAAGAACTCTGGGACCTCTTCACATCTCATCGTGATGACCCTTGGAGTCCATGGAGTATATATGCCAAAACTTGTTGCGCTTAAAAGGGAGTTGATATGTCAAAAAATGAAATCTTTACTATCATCAATTTTATTGTTATCATGGGCATCCCAATTTCAAAAGAACCCAGTGGCCACCAGGAAAGCTTGAGACCCTTTCCATGGTCGAGAAACGAAGACACTGCTGCAGTACCTGCAGTGGGATGTGGTGTCATGACCAGCGACGAGCCAATGATTTGTGGGGTGCAAACCAACTGTTGCAAACTGGTCGGGACAATCGATGGGAACAAGCCTTTGGATGATAGAATCACTTCTGGTGATACCAGCTTTCTTGAGTACAAGCTCCCTCCAGCAAATGCTACTGCAGGCAAAGTCCTTCTCCATGCCAAGTCCATAGTGAACAAGCTTTTTGCAAAACACTGTCCAATGATTTTCAAGATCGGCTATTCACACAACCCGGTATTTCGATGGAACAATGAACTCTACGGCTACAAGTTTTCGAGAGACAAATGGACCAATATGGTAGTCTTGTTTGAGTCTGCAGAAGTTCATGGTCCTGCATTTCTTGAAGCTTGCTTAATCGATGTCTACAAAGGTATCTGGTCTCAATTTATCTTGGTTTGACAATGGTCGACTTTGTTTCTTCGTTTTTAGAGTGAATTTATTTTTTTTTGCACAAAAGGACCAGTTGCCATTTTTTTTTGCCCTGAAGCACTCCAAACATCTCCCAACATTGCGCTCAGGTAGGCCAGGCTGCCGAAATGTCAATTCTGGAGGAGACACTGTGCTCATCCCATCATTCCAGTCCTTAGATGAAAGCCGCTGCTGCACATATATCGTCTACAGGTCCTTTAAATATCCACCACCGATTGCACCATACGGACCAGGAAAGATCAGGTCCACAATTCAAAAAAAATGATTGCAACAAAAAACTGTTGCATGGCATGACATGTGTGTTCAACACGTGCTGCGTGTGCAAAAGGGTGAATGCTGACACTGTACTTACGAGGTTTAGTTTACTCACGCTCATTTGGGTTCCGCCACAGTTCAAAGATGTGTCAATAACCCTTTATATACTCTCAAGTTTCTCAAGTCTTAATCGAATTGAGTTGATACAAATCAAAAATCCATTTTACCAATTGCTGCGCAAGTTATTCTTTGTTGTGATTGATGGCCGGCTTAGGCCTCATGCACTTCGGCGATTGCTACAGCCCGGGATTTTGTTTCGGATGTAGGCCAGAAGGCCGCTTCAAAGTCTGGAGGGCTATTAGATGTCTCAAAATGTGATCTTCGGAATCCAGAGCGGGACTGCCAACAGGTGCTCTTGAAAAAGTTTCGTTTAGCATTGCCTGTGCAAAAAACTCACCTAGGAAGTGACACACAAATTCCTATGCTGAAGATCCAGCACTGGTTTGAATTCTTTGCCAAGAATTCTTGCTTGCACATCCTACATGGCCTCAAGAAACCACACCCTCAGAGAGAACAGGCCATTTGCAAGGCTTTTTGGGCCAATTGGCAAAAACTGCATCCTGACCATGGTGTATTCAAAGAGGCTGCCGAAGGTACTCTTTGCCTCGACAGGGCAATACCTATATTGTTGCACGGGGATGAGGGCCGGGGGCGCAAGCATGGTGCACACTTTGTGATGTCGTTCCATTCGATCTTTGGAAAAGGATTTGCCAATCAAAAAAAAACATGCAAGGTTTGGGCGAAAATGCAAAACAACTTTGCTGGCCACACGTATTCAAACAGATTCATGCTGGTGAGTTTGAGAAAACGAGATTACACTGATATGAATAGCGACACATGGCCATCATTGATGACTGCAGTTGCGGAAGATGGTGGATTCATGTGGAAGACAGGTGTTGCTAACACCCAGGGAGTGCGCTACTGGGGAATAGTTGTGGCTATGACTGGTGACTGGCCATTTCTACACAAATCTGGCTCATTTACTAGGTCTTTCAACACCATTCAGAAGCGCTTGAGGATTAACCGTGCTCCTGCTGGCATTTGCCATTTGTGTCGAAGTGGTCAACCTGATGTTCCGTTTGAACAGTTGGAAACCCGAAGACCAAGTTGGATTCCTACTCAATTCACTCAGGATCCATTTGCGGAACCATCACCCTTTACAGAACACCTGCTGCATGAAGAGGGCAAGGAAGCGGCTTTCTGGACCTATGATTGGTTTCACACAATGCACTTGGGGGTAATTAGAAATTTTGTGGGGTCAGCCATCGCCATGTTGACTGAATTGGAGCCGTATGGCAACAAGGATGAACGCTTCAGTGCTTTCACGAGAAAGTATCGCAGTTGGTGTCACACGCATTCCAGACGCGCATACTGTACCAAAATCACCAAGGAATCAATTGGTTGGGAAGTGAACTCAAAGTTTCCTAGCGCGCAGTGGCACAAAGGAGGTTTGTCAACGGTGATGATGGAATACATTGAATCAGTATTTCGGAGTCAGACTTTTCCAGATGACGAGCTTTTGACAATGACTGCTGAAGCATGTTTTGCAGTTCAAGATCTTTCCAGGATTCTGTACCGGTCTCCTATGTGGCTAAATCCAGAGCTTTGCAAGTTGTGTTCTGAGTTGGGATTTAAGTTCCTACGCCGTTATGGACAGTTGGCGACCTGTTCTAAAAGAATGGGACGTTGCCTCTTTGTACTGCAACCAAAGGTACACCTGCTCCAACACTTTATGGTTGATTTGCATGCAGCACACCAAAAAAATGTTATGGGACTCAATTGTTTGGCCACCAGCTGCCAACCATCTGAAGACTTCATCGGCAGACCATCACGTCTTGCAAGGCGTGTGACTGCGCAAGCACCGGTATTGCATAGAATCATGGACAGATATCTTCAATCTGCATATGCGTACTTCATTAGGCTGCGATATTTGGTTCGCACTGGTGGGTGATATGTGGTATATATTTATTAACCATGAAACATGTTCTAGAACTTCAATTTGTTTGAACAGTTCACCCATGTTCACCCTCTGGATTGAAGCCGAGGATCATTGAGGTCGAATGGGGCACCACCAGTGTGCTGGAAAATGGTTGCGGAGACATCCTGGGAAATCCTGAAATTGATGAAAAATGGAAACATCGGGTTTGTCCCCAAAACATCGGGTTTTCTTTGAACATGTTATTTTTATCGGTTTTTGTTGGTGAAGGTATATATATATATATGTGTGTGTGTATAGATATAGATATATGATATAGATATAGATATAGATTGAAATGCTATAAAATATGACATATGAAATATGACATGTTTATATATAATTCTGATATATTTGATTTATATTATGATATCTATTGATAGATTCTGAGACTTTGCGCCTGCAGATCCACCTCAAAGAAGGCATCTTTCGGCCTCGAGGAAACATTGCGCCGTTCTGTGGGAGTAAAAACTTGAGAACTCTTGCAGGGTTGAATCATCAAACATCATCAAACGCTAACAAGAACAACTGTATCTGATATGAACTCAGTACATATATTACATTGTATTACATGTATTCCTTATAGTGTCAAGCTTTTTCACAAAATCTGCTCCATATTCAGCCATATTATAGCCATATTCTCCATATTCTGTTTCCCCATGAGCCAAGTTTCGAGGACGCACATCGAGCAGTCAGCACTTCCGTGTTGGTGGCCTCCACGAGAACCTGATTCGCTGTCTGATCTGTCTGCCCGATCAAAAGGCCATTACTGGGGCTCCAGCGGTCTCGGAATACCAAATGGCACCTGACATCGGAAACCGAAGCATACATTATACCCAAGGCTAGCAATCAGGCTACATCCGGCTACCCTCCATTTGATGATCCATCCTCGAAATACAGCAGAAGTAGTGTGAAAGCAAGCCGCTCATGGGGGGCTGAACCAAGGCAGCATGTTTGCACCTCGTCCGTCCTTGTCTGGTGCAAGACCCACCGAAATGACGAAGGTGGAGGGAAGGACCACCTTGATGCAATCAACAGGATCTGATTGCAGGCAAATCTATCTTCCTCAGAAATCATACCAACCATAGGCCTAAGATGAACGCCAGGTTTTGTTTAAAAAAAGTGCTTCAAGACCTCTAACAGGAAGGTCACTGCCTTTGAAATGGTGATCCATTGGTCATCCAGCTTGTCAAGGGCAGCAACACCTATACGCTGACGACTACATCATGTCAATCCACCTCCACCGTGACTCTACAAACACCTCAACCCCATTAGGAAGCAAAATCTGTTGCAACTTCATGCAACTTCTAATACAATTGTTGGAGTGGCGGAACAAAACCTCCTTGCAACCCCCTGATACAAGCTGGAATAACAGTTTGAAATGTTCAATATAAACGATTTTGCTTTAAAGTTGAACTGGTAGCCAATGGTTAAAAAAAGTGATGCAATGCAATGAGGCGGCAAATCACAAACTTTGTCACCCCTTCAATCTTACCTCATAGTTGGGACTTAGATGCGCCTTCCGTTCGCAGCCTTCTTCCAGCATCGCGCCCTTCTCCTTGTCTCAATGCAGGCCACCAGTTGTCCACATGTTTGATGTCAATGGCAAGTGGGTGAATTGGGAAAAGATGGGAAAAGTATGGAACAGGTTCGAACATTTCGGAGCGTCATGAATTTCAACCCAACGCAAATCGACCCTTGCCACGGCTCCCGAAAGGCTAAACCAGTGGCCCAGCCCACGTTGCTGCTGAACCTGCTCCGATGCAGACAAGCACAAGGAGAAACTACCGCCACAACATGACCACAGGTAAGAATTTCATTCAAGATATTTAAGCAAATTGTCTTTATGACAAGTCCCTTTTCTCACTATCCCGGCGGGTCAATATGCACAAGAAAGGAAGATCCTGATTGTGTTGTTGTGAAAAAAATGCAAAGAGCTACTTCCAATTCAAACCCACTGCAAGGCAATCTGTATCCCGTTCTCTGTTACGGCTGTCAACCTATCTGGACTTGCCAACCTCTTGCATGCTGCCTAACCCGTCACCTACAAGTCCTTATTTGCCCTAGCGAACTTCCGTGCAATACTGTATGTATATATATATATGCATAATTTATATATTTATATACGATTATATACGTATACATATCGGGTTCATGTATGTTCATGTCATGTGTCGACATGATTCGACATGCATTGGAAACCAAACTCAACAGGTCTTCAGTTCCACCTTATAGTCGCCCCCACCAGCCACCTCTCGAGCACACCCGGTTTCATGCCGGGCATTCGACCTAACTCCTCCCGAGCTTTGCGGTAGACGTCCTGCCCAGGGTGTCATTGATGGCAACAAAAGCCATGGGTCAAAGGTGGGGATACAACTTGGCATAACTTGGCTCAGCAACTGCAGGTTATCTTTTTGTTGGGAACTTTGGATGGGACGTTCTTTCGACATGTCCTGATAGACAGCACCAGCCACCAGGAACTCCACCACCTTCTTATGCAGGCTGTACATCCAGGCATACGCCTGCCGTGCCATGCCGTGCCCACCAGCTGTCGATGGCTCTGGGGCGCTGGGACTGGGTGCCGATGGATCCCGGATGGCCTGCTTCTCGAAGTTGGTGGGATTCACCAGCAGCGTCCTGCAGACTCAGGCACGATGTTGGTGGATGATGTTGTCTGGACAAAAAGGCCATTGGAACCACGACTTGAATAAAAAGTGAAGATCTGGCATCATAAGGATTCCGGAAGGATAGCAAAAACATAGATATTTTAGACTTGAAAGAAGATATATAATGTTGTATCCATTCTCAATAGATTTCATTGGAAACCAACCGTCTCTCGCCCATCACCGCGAAGCTCCTGGTGATGGCCGCAAAGTACTCACTACATCTCACCGCGATGCCCAACAAATGAGATCCGCCTGATGACCTGCGTGGCTTCAAACATAGGGCATTTGGGGTGGAATGGCTGGTTTCAAAAGGTGACGTTGACCATCGTTGACCAATCTTAAAACGGAGATAGACATATTGAAGTCATGATAGATATTACATGATATTACCCTAAGTAGTGACTCATCGTCTCATCATGCAGCCAGGCCAGGGACAAGTTGAACGACTGGGCGACCGCGGCGACCCTCCACCTTTTCCAAAGCGTCCTGCGCGGCCGCCGGGGCAGCTGATCGGAGCTGCCCAGTTCGTTATCACTGCCAAGTCTTTGGCGAAGACCACGTCTTGGACGTTGCAGTCAGCCTTGGAGAACGGGACTGGACCTTTGAAGGAGACAAGGGAAAACTCACAATATAATATAATATAATATGATATGATATGATATAATGTAATATAATAAATATAATATAATATAATATAATATTATAATATTAATATTAATATTAATATTTAGCTTTGGACTCTGCCGGCGCAGCAGTTGCCGCCGCAGTGTTGGAGCTTGCGGAAGCAGTCCCAAATGCGCGTGCATGGTATATACATATCATGTGGACTAAATAGATCTAGATACTACAAACACCCATTTCCTGCACTATGCGCAAATGCAAACTGGATTGATCTAGAGATGTTGAAGGAATTAAGGGAAAGGATTCCAAGGGAACATCTGCTCCATTTGAAATTTGTGCACGTGAAATAACAATCCCAAGCCAAAGGATATGAGGACGAGTGGATGAAAAGTTGATTGGAGGGGACTGAGGACATCTCTCAACTACACAGGTTGGCAAATGTTCTACTTGAGCATCAGTCAACTATTGGGAATTTAATATGATGTCATCACAAAATACTTAGACTTGTTCAAGGGATTTTCAAAAATCCCCAAGACAGGACATTTACCAATCCATTGGTTGGTGACGCCCTTCCCAGCCGATTTTGCAGGTAGCATTGCGGATTGCCGCGGAAGCTCACTCTGAACAGGCTCTGGTGGCCTTCAAAGCTCTGCCACGAGGCTGAATTTCATGGTTTCATGATCATGATCATTTAGAATGATATGTCAACGGACGGTGAACATGAACCTATTCAAAACAGATATGAAACCTATTGTGTGTGTGTGTGTGTGTGTTTGTGTGTGTGTGTCGGATCAACCGTCGGTGCGTGAAACATATCAAACAATCAAATGACCAGCTCAAGTCTCCAAGTGAGACAAGGCTATTGTGTGTTGGCCTGAAACTGACACCTGCACTGCTTCTTGTGTTTTCGGCACAAGAAACTCTCTCTCTCTCTCTTTCTGAGTCCCAGACCACGTTGCAAGTGACTCCAACTGGGCAATCGTCATCCACCTGTCCACAGCAAAGGCAGGTCAGATTTCTACTTCAGTTTACCACGTAGCCTCTCCACCCAAGAGATCTTGGTTGACTTCAGCCTTCTTGAACATTCCCAAAGTCGAATGGGTCGAATGGTGATGATCCCAAGAGAGCTGCTTGCTGCTACCATCCAGCTACAGCCAATTGCCGCAATGGCCAATGGTTCTGCGATTTCCTATTTGTCCCACCTCACAGCAGCCATAAATGGAAAGGTCCGAACAGTGACTTTCACACCTTGGCACAGCTTGTTGGAGCTCTGCATGGAGCTCTGAAAGTTCAAGAGGCTGAACAACACAGAAGCAGTTTCAAAATAACAAATGAAAACAATAAATGGCTGTTCCCAATGCAGCCGTGTTATACAGGTCCAATTCTGACTGACCGATGCCATTCCAAGCCCCACGCGCACTTCCAGAGTATCCAGGATTGCCTTGGTGACGAGCAAACTCGACAGGCAGATGCCACTTCAATGCCCCACATCCGTCCGCCGCATCCGTCCGCCGTTCACAGATGTTTCTCCCTGCAAGCCATGTTTGGACACAGGCCACGGGCCTTTGGCAGTAAGACTCTAAATTTGAAAAATTGTTGATGCAGAGCTTGAAATTAGGAGGGCAACTGCATTCACGGTTGGAGTCTGCATGTGTATCAAGTAGTATCAGATTGAACAGCATCCAAGTAGTATCAATCTGTTTTGTCGAACAGTTTCGTGCTGCAATGCCTTGTCACAAAAGGATATTCCAATTCTATGTGTTGGATGATGTTAGTAGAAAACAGCTCCGCACATCTCCGCACATCTCATGACAAACATTGAATTTGCTGCCGATTGAGGATAAATAGTCTTAGACATTCATTGTCATGTATGCAACTGGGTCCAACTCTTGCAGTTGCGAGCGACAAAGAGCACCAATGGTCTTTGATGGTCTTTGATTCAAGACGCACGGTGGATTCCAAATCTACATTTCATTTAAAAGGCCTTTGTAGCCGGGTGAAACTTTGAGCTCCTGTGGACCTTGCAAGACTGGGGTACTGGATGCTCAGGACAGCTGTCGGGTCAAAATAAGACAAGGGGCCACTTGAGTGGTTGAGGTTGAGTGGTTGAGTGCTTGAGTGGTTGAGTGGTTATAAACTGACATTTGAACTCAAAGCTGCTTTGATTACCGCAGTTTCTTCGCTTGAAAGCCGAAAATCTTGAAAGTCTTTATACTTATTGTTGGTCAATTTATTGAGGCGGTCCTGGTATCCCTTGGTGTAGGGATGGTCTCCTCCCTCAATCTCAGTGTGCAAAATGATAGCCTGTTTCAGCCAAAGGAGAGATTCCTCCTTTTTGCCAGCCTCCAGCAAAGCTACGTGCATACTCCAGAATGAAACTGCACGCCACACCGTCTTGCATCCCTCCTCTGACTTCGAAAATTCCTGAAGCGCCATAACAAAGTACTTCCTAGCCTGTTGGAAGTCTTTTTGGCTCAATTCAATAACGCCTTTCACCCGATACGCGTTGCCTGCATTCGGGTGATCCAGCTGCTTGAGAATCTTGCCAGCTTCGTCGGCATTTCTCCTTGCCATGTCAAGCATCTCCGCACTTGACACCTTCATCCAGCCAGCTTGCGTTTGACGATGCTTGGCAACACGAGCTGCAGTGTTTGCATATAGAAGCAGGGCTTCAGCATACATGACCTTATCCTTCTGCTCTTCAGGGAGGCTGCGGAAAAAGTCTATAGATGCAGAAGCTGCTTCATAAGCCTTTCCAATTGCATCTCGTTTTCCCATTTCATCGAGGGTATCTGCTTTTGCGTGGAGTGCCTTACCTTCCACAAGCAGAAGATTTGCTTTGGTTCTGGTCACCTCCATAAGCACTCTATCATATTGGCCTGACGCCACTGTTGTCTGGAGATTCTCAAGATCTACAAGCAGCATATGCCAGCGGTCGGTATCTGTGCTGCTTTGAAGGTCTGTGTCCGTCCCATAGGAGTAGACGATTCTCTCTTTGTCTCCAGAGCTTTGGCTGAGCCCAAACTTGGAAGAACGCTGATAAAACTTGATACATGTTTCACACACCATTGTCCGAATACCCGATGGAATGTGCAGAAGCCGCTTTTTGGTTCTCCTGGAGCAGTGACCATGACCACATTGGTGGTCAGCATGCTCCACTGCGGGTAGGCCCAACGCCATGGCAAGATAATTGCGGGAGCCTAGAGCAAGGATGTGTTTATTTGCCTTCTTGAAACAGCTATTGCTTCAATTCCCTTGCAGCCTCTGTTTTGAAACAAGCATTTCGCGGGGAAGTGACCCATTTCAGAAAGTAACATAAAATGATCTTCAATGGAAACACCAGACTCACTCAAGAACTAATACAAACAAACTCTACCCCACTTGAACCTTTGGAAGACACGGCAACAAACAACCATCACACGTCCACTGGCCACCATGTTGTGATTAGCGAGTGCATGTAGAAGTTACTACTAGCAGCTGGCAACGTTGTCAAAATCCCAATAGATTGGAGGACTTGTGAACTGGATCTCTGGAAAGCTACAACAGCAATCAACAGCAGTGAGGCGATGACGTGGAAGACCCTGAGATACCCTGAGTCACCTCTTCCCCTGTGACTGAGAGCCGGTACATTCACACCGTCCGAAGGCAAAGGCTTGGCCGCTGGTCCGCAAGCAAGCACCCTGGCACTTTTCTGTGTTGGCGGAGCCATTTCTGCTCCACAGGCGTATCATGCTTGGGGCGCACCTGTCCAGAACATGGCACCTGGACGTTGGGGAAGAAGCGGTTGGCACCTTGGTGGCATGAGTCAAGGCTCTAGGATTGTGTTCAGGACGAGCTCTATTCACGTTTGGCTGGCTTTAGTGTAACTCTAGTGAACTATGATCGCATGTTTCAAGATACATAGTTTCTTGGCAAGGCCAAGAACACCTGCAAGGGCTTGTACAAGTTACAGTATAAACCGTATAAACATGTATAAACATGATCATTCGCAGTTTTCCAGACCAACAGAGTGCAACAATAAGATTTGCACCAGTAGGGCAAGCGTCATAGCAATGACAACCAACCTCTTGCCCTCCTTGTGCATGAGCCTGCAAGGACTCGCAAAAGTGGAAAGGCTGACTTCTCGCAGAACTTCGCTGGTTTATAGCTTGCTCAACTGGAGGCCACAAATGGTGAATCCAAATCTTCCACTCTGCCAGCTGCACCTCGTAAAGGCCTCGCACCTCGAGACAGTACATAATTGGATGAGTTCTTTGGGTATTTTGGGACATGACTGTGCAGTGAAAAGAGATATCAATTAGGTCTTGAACCCAAGTTGGGTATGTGGATGTACTGTACGACCAAATCTTTGTGAACCCAGTGCCACCTCCTCAGCAGTGAGGGCATTTTTGAAGAGGGTCACATTGTAGATCCAGCCTTCGTGCTTCGCGTTGCTGGCGCATTGACTTGTGCAAAAGGGAATGATGGTACCATCTGGTACCTATGGTACCGCACCAAAACGCTGGCAACAACTGCTTCAGTTTTAAAGATTCAAAGACTTGTATGACATGTATACATCCCAAAATCCAGGGACAATTGAGATCTTTGGAATTCCCACTGTACTCTTGAGTCTCAAAACTGGGCATCTTCAAGCACATCAGGCATCAAAGTGTATCCACTGCTTCCATTCCATGTCTATGCCAAAAAAGTTGGCTTCTGCAATAACGGCACCTTCGAAGAAGGGAGAGTGAGTCACGCCATGAATGACATTTTTCCGCGGGTCGATGTCGTTGGGTCCTGAAGAATTGCTGTACCCCAAATCAGCCATGGCGTCCATTTTTTTTGCAGCATGCAACCATAAAGGCACTAAATTACTGGACCAATACGGCATGATTGTTGTTGGTATATAGAACTGATTCCTTACCGACGAGGCCAGTTACAAGAGCAAATTTTTGATCCTTCGGCATTAGGTCTATATCGAAACCCCGGAGACTGCAGATGTGGTCCATCTTTAGTATTCATCATCGAATTATTGTGGTACACAATTTCATGTATCATACCAAAATCCTTCAACTCTCATTCGAAGCATCCAATTCAACTCATCTTCAAGACCCGTGAGCACGAATTCAAGTGGGATGATTTTGATCAATTTACAATTCCTGCATTTTGCCCTAAAAAGGCTACTTAAGATACTTAAGTATATCTTAAAGTATATTCAAAGTATATATTGAAGTGGGATAATTTCATTTGGATCAATTTGGATCGATTTACCAACCGCTGGGATCCTAAACACCCCCCACTGGCCACCTGGCTCCGTGGCGGGCACAGGGTAGTGCGCAGAGCTGCGCACACCCAGGACCACGCGCACGTTGTTGGGACCGTTCATCCTGGAACGTGGGCGGCTCACAACATGGACACGGGCAGCCATGCGTCGGAAATCTGTCCAAGTGCCTTGGCTTGTATCCTTGCTGCAAACAGCACTGATGCATCTATTGTATTCTATTGTCTTATCCCGAACGAAAAACTAAAGGAAGACAATCTCAGACATATTACTACTATTGATCCTAAACATTAATTAAAGTATTCAAAATCCGACCGTTGCCCGTTGAAACGGAAATGGCTGAGGCCACCCGTCCTGTTGATGGGCTCTGTAACAGTATATGGCTCACCATACCTCATCCCGCGGGGAGATTCCTGTGCCCAGCATACTTTGGGAGCTACCGTCATCAACTTCCGGATCAGCCAGCTCAAATGGGAACATGATTTCCAATGCCACACAATCCCATGATCTCCAACTCCAATTCCATTTCGAAGTGGTGAACTTTCTGCTCCCAGTAGCAGCACTAAGCAGCTGACGTTAAGCCATTTCGATAGAAGGAGTACTGCATCATGCGGTGTGTGCTGGTGCCACCCACCTGGCGATGCCCACACAGGCGGCGTATTACAGGCAACGTTGAAGATATTTACCGCCAGCATTTCCAATGTCAGGGAACTTAAAATCATTAATACAACTTGATAAATATATTCGGATTCTTAGGGATTCTAGATATTCTTCAAGTTTCTTCAATGTTTCTTGCCTGGAGATTGCATATATCCAAACATGCAAATGGGAGACCCTCTGCTTGGTGAGGGCAATGTGCACCTTATTGCGCTTCACCGGCTCTGGTGAGGCGATTTGGTGACGCAGAACCCATCTGAGAGAAGCACGATCTGCCCGACGTCATTGTAAGGTATCCCAGGATGAATGTCCTGCTGTGACAACAGGATGTTAGGCGATGAATCGTGAGTCCGCCCATCTGTAGACTCTATAGGATCATCCATGCGCAAACGTGTCTTACCCTTGCCGGTTCCTTTTCAGGTGAATGACACGGATCTCAAGCAATGCCAGATCGGTGAAACGCAAATGACAGCAAGTGGGCACAAGATGGCGCAAGGGCTGTCCTGTGTCGCGATGTCTTCCTGAAAGGCTTGCGAAGTGACCCCAATTGAATCATATCGATCTACTCGAAATTGCTGTTGCAGTCTATGCAAATGACTGAAATGTGCAACTCAGGCCTTGCAAATTCAACCCAACTCCAACGACACTCCCAATCAGTTTGATATAGTTTGATCATATCAATCAGTTTGATCAACTTGAATTGCAGTATGCATCATATGCATAGCATAGTTGATTGCAGAGGAAAGACTGATCTTGGACATCTTCGAAGCTTGCTGTCCTCACTTGCGATGATCCACTCAGCTGGCTGTCGCAAACCATAAGCCACTGTTGTGTACCTTACCACGTTTTTTCAGAAGCTTCAGATTCAATTCAGTCTACCGCAGGGCTTGAATGAAGGGTGTCAACTGCCTGTGAATTTTGGGTCCAAAACTGAAGCTCATGGCCTCATGGCAATGTCAGGGCAAGAACTGCCCGCGATCTAGGATGAGAAACCTTTTCGTTAAAGCAACGAGCAAAGCTGATCATGGCTTCCAATGCTTAAAGCTGTCAATATCTGTCAATGGAGTACAAGAATCAATGAATCAACATGAATCAGGCCCTGAAAGTATCCAACATCCACAGGCAGTGTGCGCCGGAGCACTGCATGCCATCCACGGATTGGAAGCCAAGTACCTTAAAATGTTGCTGAGGAAACTATAAGTAGCACTCAGTGTAGCGGTCCCCAACACAAATAGACACGGCAAATCCGTATTTGAACAGTTAGAAATGAGCAAATGACCTTTGACAAGAGAAACCAATCTCTGGGGCCAATGAATGGAATAGATGGGGTTATCGAGGTTCCACCATTGTTTTCCCCAGATTTATGGGCACTGAACAGTGATCCTCTGGTTTGCGCACTCCACCACCGCCAGTGTGTTCGTACGCTTTGAAATCCTTCAGCGACAGCATAGTATTCCTGCAGGGAACAAAGTGAATGCACCGCAATGCATAAGGCAATGCCACTTGACACATGTTGACAAAGGAAAGCTCAGTCATAAATTAATTCCAAGAGCAAGTCGTAGATAGAATGGCAAAGAGTCTCCGAAACACTAAAGCTTTGAAACATTTTGAAACGCTAACAGAGTGGGATCCTACAAGTCATTTGTCATTTTGCAAAATGCTGGGAGATGCTGCCATTCCCCCGGTGTCCACAACTCAGTGTCTTCATAGTGGTCCTTGGTGTCCGGTGGCTGGAAGGCAAATGGCTGAGAGCGGGATTCTGAATACATTCGTTCTATTTTAAATAGTAGAACAATACAACCTTGTATGATATTATGATATACTATATGTTTATCAATCCACAGTTCGTTTTGCCACTGCTCATGTTGATCATGTTGCATTAAGCCTCTGGCCGGATGCCAGAATTCCTTCGTTCGCGGTTCATGCAGTGTCAGCCGAATCTGAGCTCAGTCGCGCAGTTGGAGTCATCAGAAGTGACCATATTTAACACGTGCAAAGGGCGAGCAACAGCAACGCTTGTTTGTTGTGACTTCAATCTGAAACTGTCTGAATAATCTGAATATATCTAAACCTAGTTCCACAATGTTGCACAAACTTCACCAGCATCCAACATCTCATGTTGTGTGCACCCTAAATAAAACATTTAGAAAACACGCACCATGAGCTCTGAGCTCATGGAAATCCAATTTCCATCCAACAAACCAATTGAGTGTACACAGTGAACTCCATCACTGTAGAATCCACAGAATCCTTGTTGTGGACTCACTTGTAACTTCCTCTAGGTTTTCATCTTTCAGCTTGGTCACGAAGCGACATTTGAAATGCACAGTGGTTGGAACAACCTGCCATAGCGGGCTGCAGGAAATCTGTGGCAAACTCGCATTGTGGAACTGACTGAAGCTGACCCTGTTCATTCATCGTCTTGGCAATTGGCAGTAAATAAACGGAATCTGTCCGTTCTTTCTGAATGCTTGAGAATATTGCCGAACAGTCCAAGTGTTTTGTCAAAAGGATTTTACCAGATCCTCAGAATATCTGGATTGGAAATTGATGAACTTTGTATCTTTGTGGATCTTTGCATATTGACGCGCAGGCTCTCGGCGTATTCAGAACCAACGCCAGGGCGGCCGTGGTGTCTGCAACATTGCCCACGAGAGAGTAGGCCTTGCAGGACATTAGCGGTTTTAATCTCTCACACCAGCAGCGTTTTCTTCTTGGTATCCTTTTAATTTGGACAGGAGCCTGCTTTGCTAGATATGGCCGGTATGGTGCAAACATTGGGTAGCAACGGACCCACAAAACTGGCGAGTGCATCAGTGGGAGCTGGGCTGCAAACCTTCTGCCAATTGCTACGATTGTCGTTACGGTTGGCGTGGTGGACCTCACGCCAGTGGCTCTCGTGGGCTAAGTTCCCCGGGTTCCCCCCTCCACCATCACCCATGGTAGGCACTGAAGGCTGCGGTGCACTGAGGACGAGACATCCACCCGGCCAGCAATGTGGCCAAAGACCCAAGTCATCCCAGCAACCTGGGCATCTTTCCTCTTCGATCTGTGTTTGGAACTCACAGAGCATCCTATATTCACAAATTCTTGGAAGTCTCTTCTTGCATTACATCATTATACATCATATTTTTTCATTAAATATCCGCAAAATTTGTCATAATTTTATCCATTTTCATCGATCCGATCCAAAGCTTGCCCAACCTGGCACAGCCATAGACCGTCCTCCCGTTGCGTCCCGTTGCGTCCCGACGTTCCAAGGGTCCCCACGTTGCGTTCCCGGCCCAGGTCGTAGATGAGCTTCGCCTCTAAGGCGCCAAAGCGGGCCGTCCACTCCGTGTTCCTTGGGCAGGAACAGGTGTATGACCTGGAAGATCACTTTGATAACATATCTGGTTGGTGGTGTACCTACCCCTCTGAAAAATATGAGGCAGTTGGGATGATTATTCCCAATATATGGAAAAATAAAACATGTTCCAAACCACCAACCAGATATTGAAGTACAAAAACCACATAAGGACAGAACTGATATATCATTGTGTATAAACCAGATTTGTTTAAACGATAATATAGAAAAATGAGAAGAGAACGAAGTATGGTGGAATATGCAAGCTTCATTGGGTCGATTTTAAATTTCACTGACAAAATTCAGCAAACAATGGTTTTAATGCAGCAAGAACGGTATTGTACACTGTACACTAACATTATCTAACATTCCCTTTGTTTATTTCAAAGGACACAGCTACAGTGTAGGAAATCCACAATATTAAACAGCTCATGGCTCATGGTGTAGCAAATCTGGTCTCCCTCCAGCAACCAGTACAATTGCAGCTAACATAATATGAACATTTCACTGCAATTGATCAATATGTTGTATAATATCGTCACGCACTGTTGATATTCAAACCCAACAGGTCTGAATGAGCTGCGAATTTTCATTGAATTTACTGATCTGGCAGGTGCAACAAATTTCCAAGAACCTTGGAAAAGCCCAGCAGCAAATCATTGTCGACCGTCCAGGAAGGCGGATATTCCCAGAGACCTCAAGGGGATGCCCAAGATCCAAGATCCAAGATCCAACCTACCGACATCTACCGACACAAGCTGCAGCTGACCGAGGCACTGTTTGTCAATGGCACCTTTCCTCTGACAATGTTCCTCAGAGGGCCGGTATGATCTAGTGGATAAGACGCACCCCTCATGCGTCAGACCCGAGTTCACCCCTGCAGTTAAGGGGATGAGTTAGGGTGTGGTCCATAAAAACACTCACTGACAATGTTCCTCAGCTTCGGAAAAAAGCTTGCGCGTAGCCACTTGGAATCGCCGCACCAAATGAGAGTCATGGTATCAGGTCGATCCAGATCCAAGACAAAGCAATCAAAAAAACCCACCGGCTGCAACTTGTCTATGTCTAAATGGTGCTGAGCAACGAGAACTGAAGGACACCAAAATCTCTGATCGTTGTACCCCACTTTCCGGTCTCAGCATCCTGGTCGCAGATTCTCAGGAGACCCGGTGCCTGAAATGTGACCGTGACTCCCCGCCTGAAAACCACGCTGGATCCACAGGGTCACATACCTGCAACAGCGGTTTCTGTGCGCGAACAGCCCATCTGAAGAATGAGCCTTCATCCACCAGGTCTATCAAGGTGAAAGACTGGGTAATAGTTGAATAATTAGTTGATTGGTCAGCAAGTTTCATTATATGTCATGATCTATCCATACTTTTTCCTCAACCAAAACATGAGGACAGTCTACCATTGTCGACCCTAGTTCAACTGCATGGGAATGGCGCGGAGGTCGCTTTCGCGAAATAAACATTGACGAGGAATGCATAATGCCTACTTTCACCTCAGTCAAGTGTGTTCCCCGGAATTATCTTACAAGTACCTCTTGGCCGTAGTCTCAAAAACATTCACAAACTCTTTAGACATGACATGACATACTGTAACAATTGTGGCACGAATGTGTACAGAATGCACGCAATGCGCCTCACTTGAAAAGTCAGACCCTTCTCCTGGGCGCACGGTTCATGGAGGGCTGCCTATGTAAAAAGTGACGAACGAACCACGAATAATTAATGACATTAGCACAAGAAGAAGAGAAAACGGAAGGGAAAGACTTGTGGTCTTTTCCATCTCCTACATCTAAAACCAACAATCGTGTTTTTGTTTAGTGTTTGCCTTTTTATAACATGTTTTATCACATTGTATAATATTGTATACACTCTTCTACAACTTCTGTTGGAATCACACTCTAGATTCTAGATGGACCCCCAAGAGATCAGGCAGAAACCGCTGCAGAGTTGACGGCCCAGGTTTGGCGCCAGCATCAAGGAGAATATGGCACCGTGGACTGTCCACTTCTGGGTTGGTGATATTCAGAGCTGGATGATGGATTTCGTTCAATTTCCTCTCATAACTCAGTGAAACCAAGGTTTTGAACGGCCTCAGAATCACACTGAAGACACTGAAGCATGGTCATCCCCTTCCCACATCCCAGCTACTTCCGACAGGCCACAGCCATGGTGAGGAGACCAAGGACATTGCCGCTGGAGAGGCCTTTCTCCACATAGTTCACCTCAGGCCGTTGACGACCTGCCCATCCACACATTGGAGAATCATGGCCATATTCCTATCTGAATGTGTGATCATCGGCAAACTCCATTAGAAGTGGAGAGACCTGGAGAGATCCACAAAAACTGGATTCACTGAAAGCACATACAATACTCATGCATGATATTGGCCTGAGGAATGATCTGTCTGCAATACACCATGGGATTTCTGATTCCTGGATTCACCATCGCATAGACTTAACTCCGAAGCACATTGGCACACTGCTAGGGTGCCCGGCGCCATCTTCAGACATGGATAGGTACACCACCTGTGCACGGCAGGTGCAATATAATCAGTAGCATCAGTAGCGGCATCTCCCAGTTGGTTTCTGTGCCTGGGCGCGCCAGCCAAAGTAGACCTCGATATCGGTGGCGTTGTAGATCTTGCCAAGATCAATCCTGGCCGTTCTCCAAGTGTGTCATTGCAAAGCTAACTTTTGATGTCCAAAGATCCAACGGCATGGTCTATTGGGATGACTGGATTTCACTGATTGGCTGGGATGCATTTCAGCCATTTCAACCAAAGAGAGAACGAACTCAAACATCAATCCATGCAATCCATGTCCCAATGTGCCGGGGATGCGAGATGTAAATGTTGTCGCCATCAAAGAGAGGTGGTCCTCGTTTTCAGCGACAAGGTACGGTTGTGCGGTGCAATGAAAAACCGTGGGTCGACTCAGGACCCAACCCATCCAATAGGTGTCCTGCGATCCGGCGACAAACAGCGTATTCGGATGTATTAATTCGGATGTATTGGGTGTAATCAAACTGTTTGCCTAATCTTTGACACGTCACAAAAAATATCAAAAAATCATGACTTCCACATACTCCAGACATCTCCAGACTCAACACAGAATCCTGCCATATATGCATTGCAAGTACCAGTCCGTGCTGGGATCCACCATGTTCTCCGCCACTGCACTCCATGGGTTGGTATCCATCTCCACAGTGGTGGGCAAGGCGTAGCTGTATTTGTAGACCTCGAATGGATGGCATGCCCGGGTATGGTTCCAGATGGTTCCAGGGATCTGAATGATCATGTTTTGCATGTTTAATACATTTTAATACTAAACCTGATCAAAGGATTCGGGAGATTAGTTTCAGCCATCATGTCAATGTGGAAATGTCATAAGGTTAGGGAACATCACAGGCAGGCTGGATTGAACAATAATCCACTTAGTTTCTTGGGTGGTCTCCAATGTGGAGCATGTCCTTTGATTTGGAGTTAGCCGACCAAAAATCTGCAACAAGGCTACTTCAGTGTTTTTTTATTTTTCGCCTATTCCAAATCCCCATTGACTCTGTGAACGTTGGGTTCACCACATGACATTTTTCTGCCATTGGCACTGAGATGCGAACCCAAATCTCCATCACGCCAATCTCTTGACCTGGTGGGGGGTGCAACGGACAAATTGTTTGGATGGGTTGAAGAGAAACACCGACAGAGTTGATAATCTTGATTTTTTTTTATATTCTCAACAGGGTGTCTGAGTTTAGTCCACAAAGCTATATCGAAGTAGTTCGAAACAAGGCCATATATTATCACAGAAATTTTAAACCTAAAGGTACCAACGAAGTCGTACTAAGCAAGTCAAGTGGACAGAAAGGGTCTGGTGGATCGCAAACAACTCTGGTCTTGTCGATGGTCAGCCGGATTGCATTGGCACTCCTCAGGCGCTCGGTGCTCTCGTTTCATCATCCCCACTGAGGCCCTCTGAGCATCACCCCGTTCTCTTATAAAGATGCAATCAAGATGCCGCATGCCAGACCAATCCTTAGGCATGCGTGGGTCACCACAAGCCAAAAAAATGGCAAATCAGAAGCTCATTGAGTCTTGTTACATCTTGTTACTATTGCTACTTCGCTGGGGTGCTTAACATAGTAGCGGGGCAGTTGACCTGCAGTTCACAGTCCAGTGAATTCGGTTCACACATCTTCTTTTCACCAGGAGACAAACAAGTCCATGCTCTGCTATTGAATTTAAATAATATATATATATATTATTCAATATTATCAATATTTATCAATCATTACAATGATATCTGGACATTGGACCAGTTCTTCATCCCCCCACCAGCTCTGCCAGGGAGAGTCAGTTCGAAGCCCTGTGTTGTCGGTGATTTGTTTCATCACTCGCCATTCCTCATTCAGTTCCCGCTCCAAGGTCAGGTCGCCTGGTGGGAAGCGCCACCTGGGTGGCGTCGTGGGAAAATCACAAAGCTATGGTGAAACGTGGGTAAAAACGTGCTGAAACCCTATCCGGCCAGGGATGAAATTGTGATATTTGATGATTTTTGGATCTGATGCAACAACTCAAAGGACTTCTCATGACCTTGTTTCTATATTGTCAGGTTTCTGCAAGTTACTCAAATTACCATATCCATGCAGTCACAACGGTAACTGGTGATTAACCTGTTTCCTGGATCCGCCAAAGCACATGATGATGATTCGCCCCACTGGATGGCCCTGCATTCATCAGGGGGTCTGTCTCTGAAGCGCTGCGTGCAGCAGAAATGCTTTCAATGTCACTGTTTTCAATGTACATTGTGCAACTGTTGTATATAATGTCAGGACCTACAACTGCAAAAAGAACAGAATAGATATATAATGAAGAGATATGGAGAGCATGTGAAATGAACAAGGTATGCACAAGGCATCTTAACCAAATGTGCAGTAGATGAAACAAAACCAGTAGAAAACCAACCATATCGGCTCCGGTCCTGAGGTGGCAAGCCCGGGACTGGTGCCACCGGATCCAGCTTAACGATGATCCACGCTTGAGGAGAACCTGCCGTATGTCGTGATGTGCGGGGCTCTTCCTTTGCCTATGATTCTGGGAAGATCTGAAAATTCGAATTAAATGATGCTAGTGATACAAGTGTTGCAGAACTCTTGAGGTGTAGGCTGAGGACACTGTTGACGATGATAAATGAATATGATGATGATGGTGGTGGCAGTCATGGCGGTGGTGTCATCATGGCCATCATTACCATCAGCATACTCTGTCTAGGAGTAACCCTGCATTGTGCAAACTGTTCTCTGCAGGAGATATGGTCTGATGGCTTTCAAGATTTTTCTCGGTTCGACAAAGGAGAAAAAGAGCCCCTTCAAGAGTATGGAACCAAACCAAACAGACAACACGACATAAATTTAGATGACATCATATATCATCCTTGTCTGGAGATTATGATGCATGTTCCAACTCCTACGATCAAGTTCGCATTTATATAAACGCTCAAATCTCTGTCTGAAGCTATTCTCACACCATGTCGGATGGAAGGGGCTTGGAAACATGCCAAGACTTTTCTTCAGAACATATTTGGGTGAGGTTTATGAACAGCTTGACTAGGGAGGCCTCTGTGTCACCTTCAAGCCTAGGATTGATACAGTAGAAGATTATGAAGAAAGGGAGGCTTACCACTATTCATGGAATTGCAATCGGAGGTGCAGAAATTATAGGGCCATCCCGCTTCCTGTTGAGCAAGTGTGAATTGGGTATGTCTTCTTTCGCGCCGTCTTTTCAACCCCTTCGACGGCTGGAAGCGCCTTCGGCAGGGTACCAATAGGTACCTCGTTCATTTCCATCGACTGCCTTGGCTGGTGGCCCGCAAAGTCACGGAGCATCTCTACGTCCCTCCCGAGACTCACTGAGACCCAGCGGATGAAATCTTTTTGGAAATTGGTGTAACTTAGCCATGGATGCCTAGCTAGGTCTAGTTCGGTCTATAGCCCCAAGTCAAGTGAACTGTTGTGACCCTTGTGCTGCCAAGCGACAAACTTGGCCAGGTTGCCTAAGGCTCAACAGTCGCCGCTGACAGAAACCAAAGCCGGTAATAGCCGCTTTGACCATGTCTCAGGAACAATTTATCAATATTATTTGCTACTTCTACAGCAAAACTGCTGCAACGTGCCAGAAGGAAGTTCTCACACTACCTCCCAAGGATCTTCTTCATCGCAATTTGACCTCCAGTTTAAGCTGAAGTAATCTGAAGTACACCATCGCCACATACACAAGTCATGACTTCAAACTCGGGTCATGGGTGGATCACTGCTGATGAGTGTCCCAAAATCAGCTCCTCTGATGGGATCACCTGGCTGGCTCTGTTCCCGTGACCGGAAAGCTAGATGAGATGATGAATCAATTCAATGATTTAATAAAAAGATTATATTGTTCAATGATATTCAATGATGATTCAGGATTTGATCATGAAATGACTTTGCAAGCCAAAACCTCAAAGCACACCATCACTCAACAGGATCTCAAGCATCAGCGCTGGATCCGCTTCGCCTCGCGGTTCAAGGCCAGGTTCTCGCTTCGGTCCCAGATCTGGCATTGTGACAGGTTGGCAAAAGCCGTGAGCAAATAAACGCAACTGCAGCTGGTTCATGCCACTTGGAAAGTGATTACTGATCCATGGTGACTCCTTTAATATGGAACTTACCGTGCTTGATGACTGAAACTAAAGCAGGATTGAAATAAGGGAGAGGCACTTGAGATATACAAACCAAAACTTCTTTATACCAATCCATCATCCACCATCCACCATCCATCATCCTCACATTAAGGCATCAGCCTCGAAACAAACAGATTCATTGATAGACTGGATGTTGAACATTGATTCTGGATGTGGATTATTGATTTGCATTGGATTTAACTGCAATCATTGTTCCTACATTTGAACCTGACGATATAATTTCCTCTACAATCAGGGGTTGACTGTCAAAGCATCTCAAAGCTTGAGCTGTCTCACGACTAAATCTCCAGGTAGGGTCACCAAGTCCCAAAGGTCGATTCCCATTGTTTTCCCATTGGCTCCCCCCTGATTTGTCCAAGAATCGAGGATTTCAGCCATCCTTGGTAACCCTAATTATCCATCATTTTTAGTGGCTACCTGGAGATATTTATTGATGCCGATACCATCCAAAGTTGATCAATTACCTGGGTATCCCTAAGTACATCTAAGTACCATTTCCAGTTTATCCATCATTTCCAGATATTTGATCAACATTTGATCAACCATGACACTTGGGGGTACCCTCTGCCATCCTCTGCCCAGCCATGCCGCCATGCCCAGCCTCCAAATGCACATCCGTCAGGGCGCACACGCGGCCCTCGGGCCACAGCTGGATCTCCTCCACCACGATGCGCCTGGTGCCAGTATGAGTCGAGATATCTGCAGTATCCCCCAATGATGTCTGGTTAAATTTATAGATGTTTATACTTATGCCTATAGTTTTGTACTCATGAATTAATCTTTACCAAGTTGGGATATTCTTAATATTTTTAGTACTTGATGGGATTTGGGGGTAAATCATGGTAAATCTTCAATGTGCAACTGGACAAGTGACTGGGATGCACATGAAAGTACCGGAAATTTGTCGATGTCCGACCCACCAACCTCCATGAAAATAATGATATGACTAAGACCTTGAACACCTAAGGGGTGCTTTTGATTCTCATTGCAAACGGCACGAGTCTTGTACGTGTCAATTGCTGTTTCTTCCATGCACCAGCTGTGCAGAAATTGAAAGAAAAGAACAGGTTGATTTAGAATGGGAAGAAAAGCGAGCTGGTCTCCTAGGATTGGGGCCAAAGGGTTCTGTTTGCTCCTTCTGCCCATCTTTTCTTCGGACGATTCTAGATGTCCGGCCCCTGCCCCATGAGGATGGCTTTATGGTTGCTGTCACCAAGTTGCATTCTTCGTGCAGGGAAGCCATCGAACCAATCCTGCAGATTGGCAGCTGCTAGAAGTCAAATTGATTATCAACACATATCTTGCCATGAAAAAAATGAGGAGCATGTCAGCAACACGCTTCCAGGTCTCCCAATTCAAACCATCCCAGCACATGGCTCCCTTCTTTCTGTCCTGCTGGTATCCAACGTTGGCGTAATTTCCTGGTGGAGTCGTCCACCTTCGCAACATCTTCCAAATAAAGGTGTCAGCCTCTTCGTACCTGGGAACTGCTTCACTGATGAGCCAATCTGAAAAACTATGAAAAACTGCTGTTTGGGAAGTGCAGGTGCTTGGCTCAGGCCAAGATTCCAATCTATCTATGTTTTGAAAAACAATCAATCTCGGTAGGTAATTAGTGACAGTTTAAAGCTTCAAGTCCTGTCATAGACACTTCCTTCGTGTACTGCCGCTAACCAAGCCCATTATTTATCCCAGCCCATACCTATCCACCATGGACAACACCTCGCCAAGGGCACTCTGCATAGAACTGGACCGGTGGCCGCCGCCAGTTGATGCGGAAACCGCAGAACAGCACATCGTACCTGGCGTGCGAAGGTGAAGCTGGTGGCTGAGTGTCTTGGTGTTACCACTCTTGAATAGCTAAACTTTAGCAGCTAAACCATATCACACCCGGGTTGTAGAATCAATGAGAATCGCAAACATTGCCTTGTCATGTCTGTTCAAATTGCAACAAGAATCCAGAAGAATACCTTTGAATACCTTTGAATACCTTTGACCTGTCTACAGTACCTCATACTTTTCCAAGCCAAGAGCTCAGAACTTTCTCTGAATGTAGTAGCGCAATGGTCAACATGGCAAGCTCGCAAGATCTGAATAGAAGGAGGTGCAAATGGAAAAGTACTGCAGAAATCTGGTGCATGTCCAGCACTCCAGCTCTTCCAACCCCTTAAAAGAATCCACATACTAATAACATATGATATCATATGATAACATATGATAACATATCATATATCATCATACATCTCATCCCCATCTCTTTCCCCAGTGAACCCTCCCCATCCGGCACGTCATGTCGAGGGTGATGAAGTTGGGCTGTCCCGCTTTGGGCAGCTGCGCCGGCATCCAGAAGGTGCTCTCGTCCCCGTCGATGGCGTTCTCCGGGCCAAAGGGGTTGCCGGGCCTCGGTGGTGTTTAGCGGTTCGCCACCTGGTGGTTTGGGAGTCTTAAAAACGAGCTGGGAAAGGTACCAGTGAGAAGCAGTGACAAGTTCCACAATCTGGTTTTGCTTTTCCAGAAATCTCTTGGAAGTGCTTCTGTTTTCGAATAAATGGCTGCAAATGGGACAAATACAAAGACAAGAGTGACGAAAGGTTTCATGTATCTTGCTCAAGTTTGCAGCCAAGAGGCATTGTTTTTGTTGCCTGCAAATGACAACATGTCAAGCATGTCCAAAGAACTTCAAGTCTTCGCAGCAAACTCTGAAAGGCAGCACAACCAAGGTGAATTGTGAACCCTGTTCTTGTGTTTTGAAGGTTGCAATGCGTTGCAAAGCATCCACACAGGACAGGTCAAGTTGTGCTTGAAATGGCTTTAAGCTACACAGTATTTTCAAAAATAGCACGTCAAGTCGGCATTAACAAACAGTAAAGCCATGCTAGCACTGTCGCTCCCTGTTTCTACCCAATATCGCAATGGTGGAAACACTGGACAGCCATGGGCCAGGTTGCAGTGATTGGCTTGAAGTGCGCCAGATTGGTATCAAAGTACACATTGAAGCTCTTGATGGCATACAAACCGTCACCGTTAAGCGCTGATGCTCGCGTCATGCGGATCCTTGTCATGGATTTGCTAAGCTTCACTTGGAAGGACTCAAGAGGACTAGTCAGGAGATCTATCTCATGTGCCTTCAAGTTGGCCTGACCAAAATTGCATACAGTCTGGCTATGAAAATGTATAAAAGTCAAAGGAAAACGGTAAATCAGCTAGATTCATAGCAGCTCGGTGAAATGGACAGAAACAAAATCAACTGGCTTATGTCATGACAGATGCAACGAACCCATACAAATCCTCCCCAAGACCAATGCATGATTGTTGACAAATCCCTATAAATCCGTTACCAAAAAAGTCAACTAGGGATGTCTGTAGGTGTCTTTAGATCATCGCACCAAACCCAACTGAGTGCCCCGACTCAACGTAACGAGATTCCCAGAAGCAGAGGTCAGGACACCCCACACGCGTTTCGTAATCGTAGTTCCCTGACACCGCTGTGGGGAGAGGAGAAACACGGATACAAGCAAGAGTTGATGGTGCAATAACTCCATCAAAACAAACATGTTGGTCAACAAGGCCAGCATAAGATCGTCTTTCCATTGAAGAAGTTGGAAAGTCCCCAAAACCTTGAAAACATTTAAACAATTGTACATATAACATATATGATTAATCAGGCAAATGATTCCATGACAGTTTCGACTTAGCCTTCTTAGAGCTTACAGGCTTTCAGCCACAGGCAGAAGCACTGGTATGATACCATGGAAACCGGTTTGGGCACTCTGCTCGGAGCAACGCTGGCCTGAGATGCTCCAAAGCAATTCCCAGGTGGATGTGTCATTGCCTTGTTTGGAAGCAGGCAGAAAACAGCATGGAACATTCGACAACTCCTTGGATACAGCCATACATGGCCCTTCCAGCGATGGACAACCAAGGCGCATGATGCGGCCCCGAAAATGGGAAAAAAAACATGAAAAACAACAGCCATGGACTATTTGGAGTTGCCAATGGTTGCCAAGAGGTGGAGGGCCAAGCTTTGGCAACAGTAGTTTGCATCGGACTTTTTTCGGCAAGGCGTCGATCACGAGACCCTCGCTTTCTCGTATTAAACCATGGTGGTTGGAGGGGCATCCGATCAGTTCCGATCTGTGTGAATGCTCCCCTACCACCAATTAAAATATCTTAAATAGCTGAACAATGCTCGGAACTCCAGAATGAGAATGCTCAGAATGGAGAAAGATAACGCACATGCATCCATCCTGCACTTTCGTTGCTGCTGAAATGGCAGAATGGAAGCCTTCTCTGCCTAAAAGGGTTCTGTTCTTGGTCTTTCAGCTCTTCGGAAACTCAATCTTGCAAACAAAACTCCATAAACAGCGTTCACCTATTTTTGAATTATACCGCTCGCATTTATCATTGGTCGAAAAGTCAGAGCGGTTCCATTGGAAGCAGAGGAGGCATCTGTAGATCACGCAGGAGAAAACCATTCCAAATCCACACCTACCCTGCCCGTTCCTGATTTGAATTCAAGCTCAAAACACTTTTGCCTGGCACACTTGTGGACAACAGGCTCATAATCATCCGGATTGGCAACTTATGTGCATCCTGGCCATGACAACCTCCCATCTTCCTGTGAAGCTCTCAGGAGCGCGACTGAAAGGCTCCAGACAAATAGGACCAGGAACCTGGAGCGACCGCTGCAGAGATGATAATGTTGTCATATGTTTACAGACAGGAAAGAAAAATAAACATGAGTTAAGATGAATTGAGCAAAAAAATCGATGTTCCTTCAGAAACCCCAAAAAGGGTTGATTCCAACACTCTGTAGCGATCGATTTGCTGCTATTGACATTTCCCTACAAGCACTGCAAAAGTAGTCTCTGTGCCTGAAAGCCTGAGAGCTTTCCCCCACTTTCCACGGTCTCTAAGGCTATACTGGCTCAATGGGCAAACGATCGCTGGACCGAGCCTTCTGAGGCTGTACCCTTCTTTTTCAGACGGCGCAGGACCTTCTCCTCATTCACCTCATCACGGAACTCCTCAAGCATCTTATGAACTTTGTCTGCCTCTTCTTGGCTCACCTACAGCAAGCACACTCGCCAAGTGCCCCCGGCTTGGTACAGAAGGGGGTGATTTTGTGAATCTAACAGGTCACTGAAATCAAATTTCAAAAACCTAAAGCTGCGCGAGGCTGAACCAAGTGAGCATCTAGCGCAATACAAGTACAGGGAAAAGATTCCGTTCATATCCTTCCTTGTAAGTTTTTGCTGTAGGCATGAAAGCAGCTTGAACCAACTGAGCAGGTGCTCTGAGCCCCCCCGCCCAAGCTTTCAACTGTTCAATGTCGTCGATGGACCCCGCGCGAATGAGAAGGAAGCGCCGGAGAACCTGAGACTTTTGAGGTTCTGTGATGAAACAACAAGAAAGAAAACAACATAGAGAAAGGATGAGAAAGGCATCTTGAAAATGGGTGCCCTCAAATTCTCTGTCCCCTCCCTCCGAACCTGGGGAACCTCGTTGACAGATTCAGCAAAATCCTTTAGCAGGTCCATCTTCTTCTCCAGCTCCTGATTCCGACTCTCCGGGCCAACATGATGTAAGTTCTGAAACCCACAACTGGATCTTGATAATTCATGGTGGTAGACCCGAGGTTCTAAACCATCTCCAATAACTTTCCATGACTTGCCATGACTTACCACACATGGAGAAACATGTAAGAACATGAACATGTAAGAACCATCTCCCGTTGAAGGTTTGTGAATTGCCGTTAAGCTCTCAAACCCAGCCTTCTCTGCAGCCTTCCGCACTGCCACATCTTGGCGGAAAGCAGTTGCCAACGCCTTGGACATCTTCGCCAAGCCCTCCAACGTCTCCAAGCTGCTGCTGCCACTTGGTAGGTCTTCACATAAAGAATATGCTGTCTTGGGAGAGATGGTGGCTTGGGAGGTACCCTTGGGACATGGGGCACGGCAACCATGGCAGCAGCGTAAACACCCACCGCAAAAGCCACCTGATGTGAAACTTCGACGGGGGTTCCTGCAATAACTGCAGGTCCGAGTGCCATTAGTGTATAGGGGCTGCTCCACACACCCATGCACGCAAACACTGTCCCTGTGGGAACCGCACCCACAGACACAGTGGTTGCAGGAGTCACAAAAACAGCTTGTCTTGGTAGCAGTTTGGCCACAGTGATTGCACATGGTCGTTGGCTGGCCCTGTGGCAAGGACACGCGCGCTCCTGTCTGGAGGTGAGTCAGGATCTTCATAGCAGAGTCCTTCTGCTTCTTGAACTCCGGTGCGATGAGATCCCCGAGCCACTTGGCCTGGCTGAAATGCTCCAGGAATCGACTGAACTTTGACAAATTGTCACGGATTCCCTGGCTTTGGGTGCCCATGCTGAACTTCATGACCTCCGGGGTAGTTGATGGTGCGGGTAGTTGGAACTGGATTAAATGATTCAGATATGAACAGTAAATGTGATGGGCGAACCAGTCTTGAAACGCACTCGGAATACAATTTTTTGCCAACAACACCTGACTCTGGGATGTTGTGGTGAAGTTCTGCGACTTGTCCGCAAAGAGCAAGGTCAGTTGGCGTAAGGATTCCCGCGCCAGCGCTTGGTTCTGATGCAACTGGTCGTCGCTCAAAGTCGGCAAAGTCAACCTCCCACAAGGCTGGGCCATGAGACTTGTCGAACAACGATATTTATTTTGGAAAAGTCACTGTGCAGAGACCAAACCATTGCAGTACTAAGCAGGTCGCTTTAAAATGGGTTCCATATGCAGCTTTCAGCTTTCTGTCCACAATGATTAAATCTTCTAGACATGGCTCTACAAGCAACATATTTCCCAGTTCTTACAACAGGATCTTCCAAATTATTCCTTTCACCTGGCCTGCCTGACAAGTGCAGGAGATTTCTAGTCTTGGAAAAAGGCCAGTGAAGCAACCGGCTCAATTCATTCAAGACTGAACATGAAGGTCTTATTGGAAGATTATGATCATTGAGTTAAGGCCATTCGCTTGACATCTAGCTTTCCCGATTGAGATGCGGTTTCCCATGCAACCTCGAGAATCCCTTGTTGTATTCGTTCATGGCTTGCACCACGGAATTCAGCCACTTTGTCGTGGACGCGATCTGATCACAGGAAACTTCAGGCACTGGGTCCTGTCAGGAAGTCAGAACCAGCTCTGCTCCCTCCCCAACAAATAGAAACATAGCAAATATAGATCAGTATTTGTCAGACTATGTCAGACTCAAAGCTAAACTTGGAACATATTGGAAACGCAAGAAACAGTGCAAGGAAGAAATTGGTGTGTCATAGTGTTGGACGTTGTGGCCTTTTCCATCTCTTTTTGCATCGCAGTTCGAGCCGCTTGGAAAGACTCCAGCAACGGCTTCAGCAAATCCGGTGAATCGCCTCTCGTGGCACCAAGAATTCAATGACAACCCAATCCACATGAAAAAGACATGTAATGGTATGTACCAACTACTTGAAGCAGGCAGGCTAGGGATGAGCCTGGATTGCCTTTGACACCCACCCAAACACAGGAAGACAGGCGGGTGCCTGCAATTGTACCAGTACTGGCCATGTTGGACTCAAAGAGAACTGTGCGAGCCTGCTTCCCCTTTGAACCAACCAAGCTGCGCTGACTGTTGTGTCAGTAGCTGGTGGAGGTTGGTGGCAAAATGATGCACACTGGATTCACGGTGTCTACCAGTACTTGGCACAAATTCCATACACAATCAACAAAGCCAAGAAGAGGCCCAAAAAGAGTGATGACCTGTGAGCTTTCCAAAAGTCCTCACAAGTAGCTTCTCATATCCTACCACTAGTGCTGCTACTAAAACCCCTGTTTTGTGCTCAGATTTTTTGCAAATTGATCTCAAAATCCTTAATATCGTTTTAACTATACATGTTCAATGTGGATGAGGTTTCTCAGGCTGCTATCGATGGAATCGCCCTCAAACCACCTGCAGCACGGAAACCCGAGACACAGCGGCTTGCGTTTTGACCCGGCAATGCCTCTGCTAAACCAATTTGCATGGATGTTTGCGGCCAAAATTCTAATCCAAATGAATCTCAGCAATGCTCAACGTGGAAATTCTACGTGTGCATCCTGGGCTGTCAGCTGGAATGTATCCTGGCTCTTGGTCCTGATGCCACCCCGACATGTGAAAACAAAGAGCATTTTGACATAGTTTGACAATGCAATGATTAATTTCACAATGCGATGGTTCATGCAAAGACTATAAAACAATGCAGAACAAAAGAGGCATCCACAAGTTGCACAGGAAAACAGGAAGACAAATCTGTACTGCCAACAACCTGGAAAAGGTAGTTTTCCCGGCCGGGCGACCACGACAGAATCTGATGGTGCCTCTGACACTGTTGGCCAAGAGACATCCAATCAGTAGGACAGGCAACTTCTGTGCGCCCTCACCATGCAGTTCCCCGCAACCATCACGACCAAAACTTGCCAAGTCCGCTGAAGAAGCTGATGTCTACACTGATCTCTGCTTTCAAGAATACCGCGGAGTTGCCGCGGACACGCAGGACCACGAGCCTGGAACATGAGAAGCACCAATGGGCAGAGCATTGACGCTTGTTAGGATCAGGGTTGGTGTCAAACTAGAACGACGATGGCACAGAAAGTGTTCCCTGACTTCACAAACATTTAGAGTCATTTTCAGAAGTTCAATGGTTTGCCAAGCTTCCAAGGAAGAAACCAAAAAGCTGACGCTACGACAGAAGACCCAGCCTTCTGAAGCTGCCCGCTTCATGTTGAGCCGCCGGAGGACCTTCTCCTCATTCACCTCATCGCGGAACTCCTCCAGCATCTTGTGGACTCGGTCAGCCTCTTCCTGACTCACCTGCATCGAATGAGTTCAAAAACAAATGGCATAGCTTGGTAGCGGGTAGCAACCGCTGGCAGCAAGGAGGTTTCACGCACGAACTATATTGAACTATATGATATGCTGTAAAATGTGTGTGCTCTACAGCAAGAGGGACCAAGTGAAGATCTGTTGGCAAGTTTCATCAATATTTATTTGTCATCTATAATTAATTATTTATCACTGTACCGTGACATACAGTATCAAAATACGGCTTGTCTGGACCAGCACGTCTTCCTCAAAAGTAACAACAAGCAGGACACTTCTGATACTGGTAAGTGAGATGTGCGTCAAGTCTTATGGCTGGCATGGCATGCATTGACTCGCATATAGACGAATTTTGATTCCATGTTATCTCAAACATTCTCAAACGCTACTACATGGCCACAAGCCAGTGAGAACGCCAAACACAAGAATGTATAAGAATGTCAGAGATTGCCACAACCTTCTGGGTTTTGACCTGTGGTCAAGTGGATCTGAGCCCCCGCACCCAGGCTTTCAACTCAAAGATGTCACTGATGGACCCCGCACGTATTAGCAAGAAACGCCGGAGAACCTGACAGACGGTGATGGCTCAATACACAGGGAAAAAGACAAAGACAAAGAGAGCAAGACAGAGAGTCGGGACAGGAAAACAAGCAAACACCCTCCAGACCTGGGGGACTTCGTTCACTGACTCAGCAAAATCCTTGAGCAGTTCCATCTTGTTTTCCAAGTCCTGACGGATTCATAATTACAGCAATCTTTTATTCTGCGGCACAACATACGTACTTCTGCACCCGCATACTCTGAAGCCAAGACATGCCAAGACTACCCCGGCCCCAAACAAGTTTCAACCTAAAATCGATCCTTCTCCGCCGTCTTTCGCGCTTCAACATCCTGGCGAAAGGCACCGAGCAATGCCTCAGACATTTTCACCAAGCCTTCCAACTTGTCCAAGCTGCTGGGACCGCTTGCTAGGCCTTCAAACACGGAAGATGCGTTCTTGGGCTGGATGCTGATGATATTGGCATCCTTGACATTCGAGCAACCGTACTGACAGGTTCCAGAGTAGCCATGGGAGCACCTCGCACAGTTAGCGCAAAATCCACCTGGCACCACCATACGATGTCGACCACAGTTGCCGCAGTACTGGCGGGCTTGCTGCTGCTGCTGCGGCTGCTGTGATGCGCACCCACAGGGACAGCCATTCGCATACTGGGCCTCTGTGTAACCATGCTGGCAATACTTGCATCCATCGCAAAACCCTTTGGTCTTGGTAGTCATCTGCCCACATTGGTTGCACATTGTTGGCTTGCCACAGCCTGGCAATGCAAGTCGCGTTTCGGTCTGCAGGTCATTGAGGATCTTAATAGCGAGCTTCTTCTGTTCCTCAAACTCGGGGGCGATAAGATACCCCAGCCACTTGGCTTGGCTGAAATGCTCGAGGAACTTGCTGAAGTTGGACAAATTGTCACGGATCTCCCTGCTTTGGGCGCCCATGCCGAACTGCATCACCTGAAGCGGCTTTGACTTGAGGTATCGGAGGGGTTGGAGTACCATCGAATTAACAATGGGAGCAAGCAATTGCAACAACTAGAACAAGTCGTTTCTCAACCTGTCGTGACCTGTCTTGCAATACACTCGGCCCGTCAACCTTTTCACGGAGAAGCACCTGGTTGAGCGACGTTGTGCTGAATTGCTTGGACTCGTTTGCGAAAAGCAAGGTCAGTTGACGCGAGGATTATCTGGCCAGAGCTTGGTTTCGATGCAACATGTCGTCGTTCAAAGTCGATAAAGTCAACCTGCAGCATGTCTGACCACAAGATTTGTTTGAGAATGACTCATACCTTGTTTATACAGCAGAGCACCAGACCTCAAAATGTATTTGACCTCCATTGAAAACTTTAAAAGGCATTGTGTGTGTGAGTCTTGCACGGCATAGTGTCCATGCCACTGGCATGGATCTTCTACACTTGGAAGAGTTGCGCTTTCAGTTGCACGCAGAGGTTCTGTTCAAGCAATAGCCAAACCCTGTGCGTCGTAGACCAATTCTGGATAAGTCTTTGGAGAAAGACTCAAATGGGAATGAAGAAACAGATCATTTAATGCACCATTTTCACAACTTCCTGAAGAGAAACAATCAAGAATAACAAGATAATTATCATAGATCCACGATTTATGCGCAACTTCAGAGCTGACCGTGGACAAACCGTGGAACGACCTATCTAGGGCGTGGAAAAAGAATCATCTAGGGCGTGGAGAGACCTACCTAGTGCGTGGAAAGACCTATCTGGAGCGTGGACAGGGGTATCAGAATTTTCAGGTAATTAATTTCATTTTCTCCTACTACAACAAAATTTTGGGTCCCCACAAAAAAAATTGGCAACAGCTTGGTTTCAATCTGGTTGCTCTTGATGGCACAAGAATTCGAACACATACAGTTTTAAGGGATTCTATCCTTGGTCCTTATTCTTAGGTAAAATAATAGGACTTTGGACTTTGAGGGTAAAGCTACTAGATGTGTTGCATGCAGCATGCCGTTTGCTTTCGATTGGCAAGCGCAAATCCCGCTCGCACAAACAACTTGGCAATTACCCAACCTTTGCTTAGCTTTTCATGATGTCTTGCCAGTGCCATGTTGCCACACAGGTTTTTCTAAGCGGAATAGTTTTTTGAGATCTTCCTAGTGGCAAATGCACAACTTGGTTTCGAGTCAGTATTGCTACACCAGCTAACCAAACAAGTTGACAACTATCTGGTACAAGTATACTGATTTTACTGCATGTTGATATGCACCTTGGATATCCTTGGTTTCCGGTTGTCCGATTGGAGCTATCATGCGTGATCATGCTTGCCAACAGGATCTGCAAAATCCAACATAAATGATTTTGTTGGTTTGGAAGTGTCGAGGAAGTTGGGGATGATTGTGTTCGAGGATAGATTTTGCTGGGGGTCCGGCCCGAAAAAAAACAAAAAACTTAATCTCACCCAAAACAATCATCAGGAGATTCATTCGGAATGACTCTCCAGAAGAAGCTGGGGAACCTCGAGAAGCCCTCGTTATGTTCGTTCAGAGCATTCACAACAGACTTGAGCCATTCTGTGGTGGACAGGATCTGATCGCAGGAAATCTCAGGCACGGGATCCTGTCAGGGGATTGAGCAAGCAGCCACCTCTACACTCTTCCCAATGGATTGTCTACGAGAAAACAGCAGCTAGGCTGTATAGTATATAAATTTGGGTTTATGATTGGAGGATATTGATCACTCATTGGAACAGCCATGCTGCAAGCGTTAAACGTGCTCCGGCCTTAGCCATCTCTTCCTGCAGTGCACATCGAGCTTCTTGGAAAGACTCAAGCAGTGGCTTGAGCAGCTCCGGTGTATCGCCTTGCAGGACAGCAAGGCACCGATCTAGCCAACTTCTGAGAACTCAAAATGGGGGCTCTAGACCCAAACCCATCACATATTCTGTATGGTCCAGGGGTGATGCTTACCTCAATACAGTACAACTGGGGCGCTATCATGTCTCTCAATCTTCTCCATACTTTCTAGCCACATCTCAAAGCATACGTTTGCTTGTCACAGCCCTTGACTATTAGAAACCGGCTGGCGCCTGCAATAGTGCCAGTCGTGGCCATGTCTTTTGGCGCAAAGGGACAACTGCCCAGGTGTGCTGTGCCTTTGAACCAGGAAGCTAACTGTTCAGATCAACGCAATTCTCATTGCAGCCAACAAGGCTGCCAAAATGGATGACCAGTGAGCTGTGCCAAGGTCCCAAAGTCCTCACAAGGCAGTTTATAGGTTTATCATGAAACCACTCTATCTACCTTGCAATTGCCAATGATCTTGGGAAAACAAAGTAGTTCAGAGGAAGTATTATGCATCACAAGAAAATAGAAGGACGTCGTGACAGCATGCTCAATCTGGATTCCGGATTCTGGAAAGAGTTTCTCAGGGTTGCTGCCGCTGATCGAACAAACATGAACGCCCGCGCGCGATGAAACTCAAAGCACTGCGAGAAACTCAAAACAAAGCACCTGGATTTTGGGCAAGGCTTCTGTGATCTCCTTGCACTAAACCATTTGCGGCCACTAAAGGAGTGAGGATGTTTGTGGCCAAAGCTTCTACTCAAGTCCGCTTTAGCGCCGACAATCCTAGTTTAAATCAATCTCGACATTGCACAGCAATGCTCAACGTCGAAAATAACACGCTTGCATCCTGGGCTGTCTGCTGGAAGATATCCTGGCTCCTGGTCCATGATGCCGTCCCAACATGAGAAAACGAGCAGCTTCTAACATTATACGTATCGTGTTGTTCAACGTAACAAAAAGATACAAAAAGGGGGCATCCGCAAGTTGGCACAGGAGAACGGGAAGACAAATCTATGCTGCCTGTCACCTGGGCACAGTCAGCTTTCCTACGTCGAATTCAGGTCAAGCAACTGTAAAACATCGCCTCTGACGCTTGTGGACGGGAGACTCACAGCAGGCAAGAACTTCTGTGCGTCCAAGCCATGCGACAGAACTTTCATCAGCGCCGTGGAGTCGGTGAAGGCACGAAGGACCACGAACCTGCATTGTTTTATATTTTTTTGGGGGATGTTGTGGGATGATGTGGATCTCCATTGACACCAAAGAAACCATAAATTTCATACCAAGGCGTTAGTATATAGTATGAGATGACTTAAAATGGCCTATTCACCCCATCTTCCCTCTGTCACTCCAAGAAGCAGCACCTGTCCCTTGAAAAGAAATAACTACGTCGCCGCAGCGCCCAGCCTTCTGAGGCTGCGCGCTTCCGGCTCAGCCTACGAAGGACCTTCTCTTCATTGACGTCATCCCGGAACGCCTCCAGCATCTTCCGGACTTCGTCCGCCTCTTCTTTCCCGACCTGCAAACCATAGAAGTCAGCCATGCATCAATGCATGTCTTGGACATTGAAGATGGCAAGCTGGCAAGCAAAAAGTTGCAGATCAGTTGATTAACTGCCATTAAATGCTAGTACAGAATGCGAGCTACTGAAATTGAAAGGTATCCCATAGATGGCGAAGCCGTTATACCACAGCATGAAAGTGCTATCAGAATGACTCACGCAATCAAGGTTGGAGGAGCGTAGGTGCTGACCGCATAGTATGTAATTAATCGTGGTTAGTCATATTATGATGTTATTATATGTTATTAGATCATCAATACCTGCAGTGAACTGCAAAGAGCAACTGCAGGCAATATCTTCAGCTTCTGAGGCCGATGCCCAAGCTTTCAGCTGAGTAATGTCTTCAATGGATCCCGCACGGATCAGGAGGAAGCGTCGCAAAACCTGAGAATCTTGGGATTGTTGGACAGCTCACGCATAAAAAAAGGGAAGATAATGGAAGAGATGAGGCCCAAATAATTACCACTCTTTGCACCATCCGCACCTGGGGGACCTCGTGGACAGACTCTGCAAAATCCTTGAGAGTCTTCATCTTTTTCTTTAATTCCTGGCATCACAGCAGCACAGGCCGTGAGCTGCGATAAGTGCGCAACTTGAACTGAACCACAAGTTCTCTTCAGAATATTCAGTCAAATCAAATCTGAGAAGCTGGCCTTTTCCGCCGTTTTCCGTGCTTCGACATCCATGCGCAAGGCAACTTCTGCTTTCTGAAACATCTTCACCAAGCCCTCCAACTTGGCCAAGCTGCTGTTACCACAGGGCACGCCTGCGTAGATGGAAGCTGCGTTTCTGGCTGAGATGCTGATGGTCTTGGCACCGACGGTGGAGCAACCGTCCGGACATGGTGCAGGTCGGCCGTGGCAGCAGTATCCGCAGCTGCAGAACCCACTTGGCTTGCGAGCGGTGCGTCCGCAACGCCCACAATATTCGAGACCATCCTGCGATGAATTGCACCCATAGGGACAGCCATTCGGATAGGAGGAGGCCTGGCAGCCGTGCGCACACTGTTGACAGCGATCACAAAACCCTTTGGCCTTGAGCGTCATCTGCCCACATCTGTTGCAATTCGTTGGTTTGCCACAAGCTGGCAATGCCACGCGTGTCTTCGTCTACAGCTCTGCCAAGATCTTCACAGCGAGCTTCTTCTGTTCCTCGAACTCGGGGGCGATAAGATCCCCCAACCACTTGGCTTGGCTGAAATGCTCGAGGAACTTGCTGAAGTTGGACAAATTGTCACGGATCTCCCGACTTTGGCTGCCCATGCCGAACTGCATCACCTGAAGTGCTTTTGAGGTGTGGGAAGTGTTGCAAGAACAACATTGACTAAGCTACACGATGGAATGAAACAAATGGCAACAAACTGAAACCAGCCATGTCTGAATCCGTCTTGACTTGTCTTGCAACACACTCGAATCATCAACCTTTTTGTTGCGCAGGAGCACCTGGTTCTGAGATGTTGTAGTGAAAGTCTGGGACTTATCTGCAAAGAGCAAGGTTAGTTGAAGAGAAGATTCCCTGGCCAGCTCTTGGTTTCGATGCAACTGGTCGTCGTTCAGCGTGGACAAACTCAACCTGTGAACGGCACTCGCAGGAGGAGTAGAGGAAGTGGGCAATGATATCAACATCAGAACACAATACAACTGACGAGGGGTCAATCTTCAATCAAATTGAAGTCAAGGAATCTCAAGGACACGCTGAGGAACCTTGAGAAGCCTTCGTTGTGTTTGTTCATGGCTTGCACAACAGACTTCAGCCACTTGGTTGTCGCCAAAATCTGGTCGCAGGAGACATCTGGCACAGGGTCCTGTCAGGGGATTCAGAACCCACTTTCCAGCTTGCAGCTACACATCTATTGAAAGGATGAAAGCTGAATTTGGATTGGTATACGCATATTTAGACACTGGCAAGAAACATTGACATTGTGTCAAAGTGAAATTGAAAATCAGAGTCATTTTTTTACCAGCACTTTGCCTTTTCCATCTCTTCCTGCATGGCAGTTCGAGCTGCTTGGAAGGACTCAAGCAATGGCTTCAGCAAATCCGGTGTGTCACCTATCGCAACAACGGCCAATTAGGACTCATCAAGCCTGATATATCCGCTAACTAGCCATGGATAATGCAAGGTTGCCAAGCTTAGCATTCACCCAAATGACATCTTGAGGATACATCTCCATCCTAATCCTGTCTCTTGATCTGTCACATGTTTCTTGCAACCTGAAAAATATGCTTGTGATACAGAGCAGTGAGAATTTCTCCTAGCTCCCTGGGAACAAAAGGGGACCTGCAGTCGTGCCGGTACTGGCCATGGTGGGCTCAAAGAGAGAACTGTGCGAGTGTGCTACCCCTTTGAACCAACGAAGCTGCAGGCACTGCCCCATGTCAAACTAGCTGCTGAAGGCATCAAGGCTTCTGGCCATCGCTGAAACATCATGCAAACATATGCAAACCAGTTTCAAGCTCCGTGGAGTATGTTGTAAACAGCTTTTCAGCCAAGATAGTAGACTGGGTTGTCGTCACATGACCTGAAGAGCCTTAAAGCGTCCAAGTTGCTCAGGTAAATTCCGAAGTCCTGCAGCCGCCGCTTTCTCAAGTACATCACTTCATGGAGAAAGGGGTGAAAAGGGGGGAAAGGGATGAGTTTGGTGGCTCCATGTTACTGCGACTCGGTCTAGAGCATAGAGCATCATAGAGCATCATAGAGCAACAAAGCACTGCACCACTTTCATTGCACTCACTACTACAATTCAGTGGAAAACGCCAAGAGCTTTCTACTTTGTGGGTTCCTTTGGAGAGATATGGCACGCATAGCATACAGGAACCGTTGAAGCCCGAGACCCGATAGTCCGATAGACACAATCCCACCAGCCCAACCCGCTGTCCGTTGGTGGATAGAGCCAAAAGACTTCCAGGCCACCTGGCAAAGCCAAAGCTGCCAAGGAACTGGGTGTTACAAGTTCTTGATATTCCATGCACATCAAATATATCCGTGGTTTCTAGATGTGTCTAAATCGATTCCAGCAAGCATACCGCATACCGAATCACTCCAACCAAGGCCCACATCAAACCGTTTTGGCCAGTTCAACCAGAGCCCAACCTGCAATGAAGGTCTGTTCTCTCAGATCCAATCGAACGTTGGCGCTGGTGGCCATTGGCTCAGAAAGCCTGAGCTATTCCAACTGTCACAGCTGACACGGATGGGATGCTTGCTTGGATGGAACACGATGCTGGTTTATGGCAATGGGGTAAAACTTGCAACCCTAAGAATGGATGATCAAAGACAAAAAATCTCCGAGTCTGTGCATCCCTGTGGTTTCGTTGGTATCAAGATTGGACCACGTCATACCATATCATGGCTAATCCGAGATAGACTTTTGGGCAAGCGATTCAAGCATTGAATTACACATAATTACACAAAGCTTCCTGTGATATTGTATTCAATATATTCACACACTGGCAAAATTTGAAAGGTGTGGCCACATCTGCTGCACAACTGCAGCTCGGCTGCCAAATCGTCTCATTGAGACCATCCACTGCTTCGATGCCAGAGTGATCCCATCGGTACGGTGCGTAGGTCTCTTGTCCCAACGCCAGGTTCTCGGTTGCGAAGACCCTGGCAAACACCAGGGGATCGAGGCAATCCATCTGGAAGTGTAACTCAACAAAATCATCCATCCCTGCAAAATATCATTTCACACTGTCACAACTACAAGGTTCTATGGGAAAAAGGCCAAAGAAAGCTTGACAAAATGAAGATCAGGATGTCCATCAACACAATGAAAATTTATGGGCCCAAGATCATTGATTCACTAAGTGAGAAGTCAATTGAGTCAATTGGGCTATAACTGGCTAACAAGGAATGATGGATACAGTGACAGGAGAAGCTTCACCGGTATGGGCCCAAGCCAATTCACCAAGGGAGAAGTCCATTAAAATTCCAGTCGGCTGCAAGTGACTAATATGTAATGGTACAGCACTGACCTTCGAAGCAGTACCGTACTCACAATCTTGCCAAACTAAATCCGTCCTCAATGTCCGGACATAGAAAGCGTTGGCCAGCGATGTAATAAAGACAAAGCGCACATATCCTCAGTGCAGATACTCCACAGTATCCATTGAAAGAGCTGTGGGCATTGTGTGACAGCTCTTGAGTCTTGAAATCCAAGGCACTGCCGGAAAATCGTTCGATGACCCACAGGTCATTGTTTCGATTGCCCTGCGAGATGGCAAACATGAGACTTTCTATGGACATCCCAAAACTGACCAATGTAAATGGTGCTGCGAGGAATAGTCATAAAGAGTCAGCTAGCGCCCCAGATAATTCCATCAACTGTCCGGTTTTCCTCCAGGATCTACTGTATGCTACAGCATTACATGACTGTTTATCACATCAGGAAATAGAATGAAATAGATCAGTTCCAAAAGTTGCTCTTTCCAAGGTGGCAAGTCGTGCGTTACAGGCCTTCAAGTAAAACTCTGCGTGGCTACAAATGGGTGACTTGGCAAACGGTTCAAAATTGTCTGGAAACCTTGAGAATCCAAAACAATCCAACCTAAACATGTGCAGGAAACTCGCTGGCTCCTGAGCTGTGTAGACGGTATCAAACTCTGAGCCATCATCGGACACCTGAAGGCATCTCATGGTGTCACCCAATTATAATACTCTGTTCATTCATCATGCCAACTTTGGCTCAACGATGCATTCTGACGAAAGGATCACAAACAGAATGGATTCGAATCAGATTCCCGTGTTTCCCATTTCAGCCTTGAAGCATCCGCAGTTTTCTCTACGCCCGAGGTTCAAGAACCAGTGTCAACAGTCAAAGTTTGGCAGAAACAAGCACAATGACCCATCTTCAAAGCCCCTTCCTGAATCCGGAAGGAATCGATGATACTGGTAGAAGGGCTCAAAATGCGGGCTCCCCAAGCAGAGAAGTTGGCTCCTGTATCAATCCTCAGCTCGCTTTTGTGCACAAAGTCAAGCTGAGTCAAGGTCGAAGAAATGAACGGATCATGATGAGATGACATTTTCCAGGTCCCTTTGTTCAAATTGACTACTGCATTCAGGAAGAACTCTTGGCCCGATTTCTGATTGGGAATAGAATTCAAAAACGGGAAATATTGAACATACATATTCCCGTAGAGACGAGGTGAGTGCCAGTAGGTGCCTTGCTTCCAAATGGCTTTGTCCAAAAATGGGGCTACTTGAATCCATTGAAATTGGGGATGCTGTCTATGGAGGTACCCCATTTTCGGAAACCCATACACCCAAGTGATGAATTTCCGTCCAGGCACGTCAAAGAGGTCTGCTCCAGGGTCAGCGAGGTCCAAACCGTCACATCACCTGAGACTGTTCCCAAACCACGGACGTGAGGCACGGAAGATCAACTGGGTTCTTTGGTTCCCGACAGCTTGGTATGGATAAACATAAACAAATCTGGCATGATGTGTATCTGTGGATATAGTTTAATCTATGCACCCAATAATTAGGCAATTAGGTCTATATAATTATTATAATTCTTGGACCCAACTCAGATTAAATGAGACATGGTACCATCAATAACACATTATGTGTATCATCAAAAAACGCTCCAGCTGTATCACGCAGCTCAGCAGACCAGTTCGCTGCCATGTGACTATCATCCGTGGCAAAGGCTGACAGCGATCCATCGCTGGAGGTGATGGGTTGGTTCAAGGTCACGTCCGTCTGGGTGGAGTAGATTTCCTGAGCCCCACCAGGCCAACTGCTGTTGTATCATATTCTGCCCTGCTCCTGCAGGTGACGATTCCAACAAAAATCATCAAATATCTGGTTGGCTTTAATCTGACTTACCCCCAAACAACTCTCCAGTGTGAGACTCCTCTCCAGAGTACAAGTTCATGTTGCGAACTCATGGAAAGCGTCAGATGATTGCGTTTTGCATGTGACGCTTCTCTTTCCACTGCTGGGGGCAAAGCCGGATGGCAATTGCCTTGCAGCCCAGCTGCAATCTCCCGGATGGCAATCACCGGCTGTCCGCCCAAGGTGCCGATGTTGGGCCCAAGGGTCACGCGTACCCTGGCCACGGTGGGAATTGATTCAGCTTCAATGTGAGATAATGTGAGCTACGGTAAGTACTTATTCATCACCTCCCCAACAATATCAATGTCATGGAGTACAATACAAAAAAGTGTATGATCTAAAGTGAAAGTCGCGACAGTGGCACGAGATGCATTCATTCGCGGCAAGACAATACTGGACCCCAAAAGCCCACTTGCTTGATCATCATGATTCATGATGATATAGTGGTGGGATGTGGTGGGTTTGAAGCTATATTCAAGCGTTGAAAACCTTGAACTTTTCTGGGGCAGTTGCAAGACCTGTCATCTCTAGATACAGAGAGCTGGCTGCGGCCGGGCGGCCTGCGGCATGCATACGAGCTGTAGAAGACCACAGGCGTGACGTAGTCAACTGGGCGCAAGAAAACAGCTCTGGGGTTTCCGGGATGTGTCGGATTTCATCATGCTGTGCCTTGAGCAAAAGGACACCTCATCAGTTAACCATAAACATCCACTTGCTCTGCGGCAAAACAGCTGTAAAACACGGGGAGGGATGAGAATTTGATTCTCTGGGGTTTGTGGACCGCAGCCATTCTGAGTATACTACACTGTCAGATCTTTGGGACGCCCAATGATCCCAATGTTGACCCATACCCAACTGAAATCTGCAGATGTTTGTGTCTTGTTCGCCCGTCATGGCACCGTTCTTCTCCACATTGCCCACCGTGGTGAAATCCTCCCCCGTTTCGCCAAGGGAACACAGGCCCTCAGCAATCAGTGGAACTGGAGCAATTCTCAGCAGCGGAACAATTTGAATAGTGGAAGGGCCTTAGAATATAATGACTATATAATATACATCAATAAACTATGAGATCCAGCCAGAATCAACCATAATCACAGTGTCAATAATGTGTTCCCGCAATAGTGAAACAGCCCTTCACACCCAATAAAATCAATAGTGAAATGATGCAACAAATGACAGCCATTGTAAGAGTCGTGACTATCAATCCAGCTACTCTTGATTGTTTAGTGTTTGTGGTCGCTTCTGATCGCGGCCCATGTCCCGAAATTTGAATCGCATCATTGCCAAGCGGCATAGACATCGGTGGCGGGATATTTCCTGAGCTGACCAGCTTGCAGTCAGGCAGTGCCAGGAGGTCAAGGCTTCAGTATATATGCTCGATATAGGTTGCAGCGCCAGGCTGCCAATTTTGTTTTATCAAATCAATGACTTCAATCCTACTATGGATATGTTGGAACTTCAGGGATCCAGTTTGCTCATACTCACAACAGGATAAAAGTGTCCGCAATCCACAAAAAGTGCGGGTCATCCACTGCACTGACAAGCTGCCAGCGTATTGCAGCAATATCAATAATAACGGTGGCGGGGAATTTGACCTGCACAGCATGGAAAGACTCCATCAATGGGCAATGCTTGACACACACAGAAGAGAACCTCGTCACACTGCAACTGCTAGTTAATGCCATCAGTCAAGTTTGGAGATCCCTTTTTGCATGTCGTGGTTCCCAAGCAACGACCCCACACCAGTTTCGTGCCTGCAGGTAAGCGTTCGGGAAATCTGTGAGGCCATACATTGCCCCAAACCACGTGTTGAAGTCCTTGGTCAGGTTCAACTTTTTAAACGGAAAGTGAAAGCAGTATAAACGAATCCCAAGGAAAATTGATGAAAATTGTAGGCTTATTCCTTTATTTACGTCTAGGTGCTGGTTTGATCTACAACATAATCCGCTATGAGATTCGCTATTACAGAGACCCGCAGCAATCATAGAGGTTGTTCTACTGTGCTAAGTTAAGAGATGTTAAGAGTCATAATTTCAATACACATCTTCCCACCAACATCACCCTCAACTGAGTGGCATCATCCACAGCGAATGAGCCATCATGAGGTCGGAAGTTGCCATCCTCAGCTGCCACGCGACCCAGTGGCTATGGGACTGGGCTTGTGAACCAAAATCAGACATATCCAACTCCACAGTCCACAGGTTTTGCAGGATTGGAGGTGTTTCGCGTAATCAATAGGATCGATAGCATATACATGTCTTTTTATCGCAACCTCCGTCTAATTAAGACAAGGAGCATAGATAATGGCGCACTTGGAGCACTCTGAGAATGAGTTGGTGGCAGCTGCAGAGACACCAGCACTGAGAGCCAGGTTGCTACTCACTTTCCTGGCGATGCGTCTGTCGGTGTACAACCAATGGGCAAGCCCCTTTCTGACCACGGAATATGCCTACAATGTGGGTATATAGAGACAAGTCGAGAGACAAGTCAACGAAGGAAGAGAACTCGCAGAAAATCCTTCAAAGGTAAACTTCAGTATGTGTTGGATTGGTACCCACCCCTCAACTCACTGATAGCTGCAATCGTCAAATCGCAATTGTCAGTTCTCATCCATCTCATATGTGCTGGAAATTACAATGTGACTGACGGCTGCTACACTGCTACGGGCACTTGCGATCAGGATGACTACATCAATAGCAGGGTCTCATCTTGAAAGAAACAATCCAGCTGTTTGGTGTCTTCGTTCACCTCATCCCACTGCTTAAACCGGCTCCTGATGATGAAATCCTCAGTTGATGCAAAGGACATGGTAACTACATAGTAAATGGTTTCGCCAAGTGGCAACTTCGAAGTTTCTATTTTGCCTGTACTGTCCTACCTTGTGCCATCTTGTGCCTCTGGGCGAAATCTGGGACTCCACACACCGGTTCCCCCAAAGAAACACCAACCACAAATGGTCCATGTATGACCATATATGTCCATGTACATGACCAAGAAACCTCGATGCCCAGGCGACCATCCGGGTTTAATCCGAAGACCTGCTCGAAGACAAAGCGCACATAACCTCGCAGCTGGAAGTGAAGGGAATTGCTAATTCACAGAGCAGGTGCAGATTTTGTGTTGAATCGAATGTCGGTCCAAGGCATGGGGAACAATAATAATAATAACAATAGGACTCGATGCGTGGACCAGCCGAAACCAATTAGTGACGTTGTACCAGTGTACATCATACCTTGGCAACGGTGTGGACTAGGACATAATAGGTTTCCTGCAATCAAACCAACTCTGTGAGGCGTCCTTCTCCAATCAAGGCTGAGTGACGGCCCGTGCGATAGAGCTGAAAGTAGACGCTCATGTCACGCGACTGTTGTCGAAAATCCACCTGCGCGGACTAGGCATGGGTCCATAAAAGGCGTCAGCTTGAAAGCCTGGAATCCCATGCTTATTTTAATGTAATCTCTGGGTTGCAATCAATGGTCAAAGGTGTCTTTTTCCATCACCATGGACCAAATGTATCCAAATGTCTCGTTTTGAATTTCCATAATTATCCATAATTCAGATCTGATGATATTCAAATTTGATATATAGATGATGTTAGATGATGTTAGATGATGTTTAGTCTGTATAGTCAATGTATAGCTCTATGGCTCGACCTCCACAAAGATTCCACGACAACTTCCACGGCAATCTGCCGCGACTGGGATCCCACCATCCGGAAGTCCCAGTCGACGAGTTCCTCGGCCATCTCTGTGTAGAAGCGACTCCTTTCCACGCAGCCAGGCCCCGGGATATGGGGAGAGCTGTTGCTTGGGGACTTCAGAGGTGAAATTAGGTGTTGATTGTTGATTGAGATGTTTCAGATGGGAATAGGTATGACCATAGAAACCGTTTCAGAAAGCCATCGGTTGGAAGGATGAAAGCTTGCAAGGAACACATGTAACTCGGCTGAAAATAAAGAATGTACTGTGCACTACTTGACTCCAATGTACTCACTTGTAGGTGGGACGTTATCCCAAACAACTTATCAAGCTTGCATGCTGGATATCGCATCAACGTACTCTCAAAAAGGTATCAAAAGGCCATCAACCACCAGGCCCCCCTGCGCAAAGTACTGGGAACCATTGATCTCGGCGAAGCGGATCTCAATGCTCATCACCTGGCACAACTGGCTCTGCATATGTTGGAAACTGTTCCCAAAAGGTGTCGGATTTCATCAAACGATATGCTAAATATATGTCCAATAAAGAAAGCGAACTGTTTCTCAATGATGCTCAAATTCAATCTCTGCAACAGATTCCAAAGTCTGCTTTGAATTTTGCGCAACGAAGTGCGGGCATGGAGCCCCGCCTTGTACAAAGCTCCCAGGTCAATGGTGATCGAAGTGGGAGTCTCCTGCAGCCAACAGAACCGAATAAAACAATTATAAACGGTTGGGTCTTCCAAAAAACTCCGAACAAACTCAGGGAAGAACATGCCTGTGTGAATGACACTGATTGAGCGATTGCCAAGTTTAGATCTCTTTAGCTCTATACTGTTACATACGTTTAGCTATTCCATTCATGAGGAAATTTTGATAAATTTCGGGCCTATAGGACAGCAAAATTTTAAGGACCAGAAAATGACAGCCATTGGCTAAACCAATCAACATCCCTACTCTGGTTGGCTAAAGTATTATGAACCCAGCATCATTAGGAGTTCTGCCCACTCAACTTTCCATCACAAAACATGCGCTGATCGAAAGCCTGTGGCTGCACCAAGAAGTAGCTACTGGCGTTGCCATCGATACAATTCTGCACATCGGTGAGGTGGAACTCCTGTCAGAGAAAACGATGTGGGGAGGCTTGCACGGTTGAAGTGAGGGTGGCGTGTGTGGTGCTTTTGCACATGTTATATCATATATTATCTATAGATATTGCATAAGTCTAGTGTTCCAGATATATCCAGATAATGTACCGAATTATTAGATCAAAATAGATAAAAATTATAGGTTTAGATTCCATATTGAAAGAATATCAAATGATCAGAACCAGGCCATTCTGATCCCGTCTCCTGTGGTGGATAGCTTGAGTTGATAGTGGAGTTTGGTGACAAATTGTCGCTGTCCGTGTAAAGCTCCTCGGAGGCTACAGTGATGATCATCCCAACTAAGGAAACGTGGCTTGCAAGCTGCAGGTTTCTCATTCCACAAGCTGCAAGAATGTATATTTACATATATATATATATTTACTATAGCCATTACTCCCTGGTGATTCGTGATCTTCGGAAACTCCAGGGAAACACCATTTGGACAGCTGACATGGCAGTGTATGACCCTGCCCCCCTGACTGGCAACCACCTGGATCTGCAGATTTCCCAACAACCCAGGCGCGATTTCTCTGAGTCCAACGTAACGCTCTCCGAAAAATTCACGGGTCTGCTCGATGATGATCATCATGCAGCGACCTGGCAATGGGAATGTGGGCCATGGGAGGCAAAAATCACAGGGAATCAGTGGATCCGAAAACATCCCGAAACAGGCTAGAACTAAAAGGCTTGGTCTATTGTGTTGTGGGCTACAACAACCTTTGGTAATCTGGGCAATAGAAAATCATCCCATCGACGTTCCGCTCTGGCCTTGCCAGTTGACCGTCATCTCAAACTCGTCCAGCACCAAACCAGAGGACAAACTGAAGATCTGCTCAGTTGGAGTCCCATCGCCTCAGGTGCTTGGGCATCCAGGAGAAAAGTTCACCATAGTTCACCTTACTGCTCTGCTAGGTGCTGATTTGCTAGATTGTTAAACTCTTGAATGTATTAATTCATCTAAATTCTTTGGGATCAGTTGGAAGTTTTGGCCACTGATGTGCAGGTTGAACCCTTTACCAACCGAATTCTATGGAATGAATGATTTGGAATGTGTGAATCTTGGAGGATCAATGGAAACCAACAAGAAAAAAGCAGGCAAGAATGCCAATGCCTTTGCAATTGGTCCCAGGGGCTGCAAGGGTTGGGACCCACAAAGGCCTTCACCTGTCATTGAGTGGAAAACCATGGGATACTGAGTTCTCTTGACACAATAACATACATAACAAATAAGTATCTGCAAACCATACAGTAGACATGCATCCAGGCACATACAAATACCATAGCTTGAGCAGCACCAAACGTGCAAAGAAGTATCTCCGGAAGTTTAGAAGGCTTTTGAAGTAAAGAACAACAATCATCCTCCGAAATTCATCCCTCATCCCTAGAAGAGCAAACCGTGGGAACTGCATGCAGGTTTCTCCTCAACCTCCATCGTAACCAGGGCAGGAGTACAATCGATGGCTTGAATCTCCAAGACACCTTCGTTGCCTTCGACGGGGGCAACGCAGCTGATGCATCCCCTACAATAAAAACTGCCAAATCAAAGGCCTTCACCACAAAAAATCAAGAAACAAACGATCCAGCATCATCTTATACTCTTTTTCTAATTCATCATCTTCTGAAATCCAACAAAATCAAGGCTTTTCCCAGCACGTTCTATTCCATCAAATCCGCAGCATGTCCCGAGGTCCACACCATGACCAGCATGGAGGTCCCTAGGTCCAGATGAAACTCCGCCGAGGGATAGCCCGTTTCGGTGGCCCAATAGGTCTCCAGGTCGCCATCAATGGCACTGCTGGGTGGCCTGCAGACGGATGGGACAAATCCGGACACCTCCAGTTTTTTTGGCAAAATGAATTCCTGGAGGGCACCGCTTGATCCGAAATCGATCATCTAGCATGGTTTGCTGCCTCAAATCTCCATATCTATATAGGAACTGGAGAAGCGGCGAGACAACAAGCAATAGGCATCAATAGGCTTATTGCATGGAAAAAGCATGAAAAAGCCAGTTCGGGGTCATCAAATCTCTCTAAGTACCTACGGCTCTGGTTAAAAAGTGGAGGAGCTCTCAGCTATCACCAGAACGAGCCGCTTGTCGAAGTAGTTGTAGATGGTCGTCGTCTGCAATCTCGCTACATTGGTGTCTCGCTGAACTTCCAATTCCTTGCTTTTGTTGCCAAGTCGGCCGGTGTGCTGTTTTGAATTGATACGGATCTTGCAATAAATTGCTTGTCGCCCTCTTCACACCAACTGCATTCAACTGCATTGTGCACTACTGCAATTCCTGAAAGTTACAACAACGCAAGGCAATTTGTTCTACGTTCATTTGCGGATGTATTTAATGTCAACCCCAGATTAATAAACCCTGACATTTAACCGTGGGTTATCCTCAAATTTGTCATAAATCAAAAAGACTCTTCAAAACGTCTAATTCTCCCCTTTCATAGACTGGGGCTAATTCTGGCCATCATCGGGTGACAAGACCTGACCCAGTGGATCCCAGTGGCATAGATCGAGAAGACCGGCTTCCCTTGATTGATGCCAGGACCACGAGTGGAAGCGGCACGTGTCATGTCCAGCCGCAAAAAGTTGGCACCGAAAAAGGCCTGGGATGGGGATCCTGGGGGATCATGGGCTGTCAGTTTCTGAAGCCAAAAAAGACCATGAAGGAACACTAGTGACACTAAAATATGTATAAAATATGTGCATATTGCCATGAAACGCTACTGTAGACTGAATTTTCTGGGAATATTGAGGAGTGAATGGATTGCCTGCATATAGAGGAGCTTTTGATGTTTTGCTGCCTCAAATCCCAAGGTGCCTGATGGTAGCTGAACGTGTCCTGGCTCATGGGATGAGCCAAATATCGTGACATGGCTTGGGCTACACAGAACAACAAACTGTTGACATCGGCACATTTTCACCACTGCTTGTGGCACCAGCTTTCCATCCATGCGATGGGCATCCTGAAATCATGGATATTTCCGAGTTGTTCATCCACATGGCTTCAAAGTCCTGGTTATTCGTGACGTCAATGATGTTCCACCATGATTCATTGTCGAGAGAGACCTCGGGACCATTCACGTGGAAACACTACAACTATTGGTTCCTCGACCAGGTCTTGAGCACTGCGATCGGAATGGCTTTTCATTGCCAAATCACTTGACGCAAAATGCTTGTGACACCCGTCCGGTTGGTTTGTTTCACCTGATTCAATTATGAGGATGAGGTCACTATTTGGTACGTGACTATTTGGGCTGGGGCTGCGAAGGTGGAAAAGTAAGAAACGATAAGAAAAACTAAGAAACTAGGTGGTAAAAAAAAAACATGAACATATATTTAAATAATAATAATTATTACACATAAAAACAACTAAAAACACATAAGAAAAAATAAGAACAATTATATAAACAAATAAGAAAAAATATGAACATATGAAAAAATAAGACAAAATAATAATGAAAAAAACAAAGATAACAAAAAGAAATATTTTTTTCCGGCCCTCCGAGGATTTGTTTTTGTTTTAAATTGTCTTTATTGCTTGCCCTCCCAGCTGGTGCCCTACTAGATAGCGCGCTGGTTCTCACATAAGATCCATCATTCCATCCCCTGCTTTGGCCATGATCTAGGCATAGTTGCATCACCTATCAACGGTTGATTCACACGGCACTCAGGTCACAACCCAAACGCTGTAGTCTGCAGCCGGCTCCTTCCAGAAGATGATGACCTTGGGCATGAGATGGCAGCGAGGATGACCAGTTGGGAACCAGGGATTGCCACAGGCTTTGATCTATCTACATAATTCTATATATAGTAAATTATAGTATAATTAATATTGTTCCAACAACGTTAGAATATTTGGAATGAGGCTGAACAAAACTGGCTCGGAATGCCAATTGAACGCCGCACCATTTTCCTGGCTCCAGTATCTCCCACCCCGCAGAGAAGTCCAGGTGTCCCGACCGCTCCACCGTTCTGAAATCCGTCCAAGTCCAACCAAAGGCTGGCCGAAAGCGTCTGGATACCTGGAATCCTTGGAACCCACACACTTCGGAGGAACAACTGCGGTCATCAGTTCTGATGTAAGGATCAACTCAAGTTCAACGGTGAGCAATCCTTGAACAAGAAAACTTGTGGATTGTTTCAACATCTTTCAAATTTGCAAAGTTTATCCGCACAGCCCTCACCAAATGGCCAACAAATGATGACCGTACCCTTGCTATTGAGTAAAGAACATACCTCTGGCATCTCTGAGAAAGCCACCCAACTTGCGAGGACCAGTAGGTGGTTGGAATGCCATCCTCAGCAGTTAAAGTTTTTTGGCACTAAAGGTTGGCAACAATCCCTGTTCCGACCTGTGACTTTCCGTTTTGAAATCAAAGCAGTCTGCGGAATCACGGTCCTCATGCACTTTGGACCATAGACAATATAGACAATATCTATTCCCTTTTGCAGGGAAAGTGTGACCATGTGTGACCCGTCCCACCAAGAACATGCCCCTTCTCTTTACAATGTTGGTATAATTTGGTGTATATATATATATAGATACATATTATATATGTGTGTCACTTTTCGTGGATCATGTGTTTAAATTGTTTAATGCTCTGTGCGGTGCCGAGGAACGCAAGCAAACTTGGGCAGATAGTCTTCACTCCACTCAGAATCTGATGTTGCCGGCACCTCCAGGACCATGTTGGTAATCTCCTTCCCAGGGAAGTGTACGCTGGACATCTGGGCAGATCCCAACAGCCCTGGTGGAACCTCATGGAAGGCCTGATGTTCATGGCCTATACAAGGTGGGTGCATGAATCATTGGTGTGCTCCATACATCCACTGCGAGGTTACACTGCTTGGTCCACATGCCTCCTGGTCAAATCAAGACACAGCTACAAACATCACACAACTGACTGCAGGAGTGGCGAACAGTTGGGCTGAGAGATGTTGGCAGGTTCTCAATGTGTATATCGTTTGTTCATCAATTCAATGTACGTCCAACCAGGCTGTCCCAGCGAGGTCACTGCTCCTCCACCTCACCCAGCTTGATCCATGCTTCCAAGGTGGCGTTCTCCTACCAGGACAGGTCGTGCCGGGTGATTTTCAGAAACGACAGCACAACCCTCGCCCATGGCTCCGTCTCAAGTGGAACAGGGTCGGACACCATGAACCTAGGAACATCTAGGAACGCTAGGAGCCGCTGGGGAACGTCAGGAACATCAAGAATTTGCCACATCAATTCATGACAATTCCAACTATGAAACTGATCGCAGTATAGGGTAGATCGATTCTGCAGAAAGTTAGAGAAGTACGATCTGAATTGGGCATATTTGGGCTGCCAAAATCGATGTTGCATAGGTCGTTGCCTGCAGCATCGAGCACCACTCTGCCGTCAAAGCGAAGGAAAAACATGGTGCATCTGATCGTGGAATATCGTGGGGACATACAGTAGTCTGGTGGTTGTCTATGATTAATGGATTTGTTCCAAAATGGAGTATACCCATCAAATAACCCATTTCAATGGGAAAATAGAATAAATATAGAATGACTATAGCCATCAGATTTGGGCCTATAGACACCCAAAGTGCAGTCAAAGCTACTGTTCTCTGGTTTTGTTCAAGTCCAAATAGCCAGGAACCAGCTCACCTGCACAGCTCGAAATTTCGTGTAGACCATGGAAGTGCGGAGCATTTTCCGCGCATCTGTACTAAAGCCAAACAAAGGTGTGAATGGCTAGTGGCCGATGATTTCAGTGTTCATGCTTCTTGATATCGTTATCATCATCGTTATTATTGAGATTATGAGATTATCATTATTTTAATGTTATTACAAATTATTGCCAACTTGAAAAATGGATCATAACGAAGGCTACCAAAAAGATGGTTCTGTTGCCCATTGGATGTATGATTCCGCCTTCAACAAAGCAGCAAGGGGCAACCGATTCTGGGTGCCCGAACCATTCAAGCCCACTGAGGCACCTGTGACCGGTGCCTAAGTTGATCGTATCAGTTGTTGGGGAGGTACTTGTGGCCCACAGCATGGTGAAGCAAAGCTGTCAGTTAGACGCTTAGAGCAGAACTGCAGTATGGGCAAAATGCGAAAACGATTGGTTTTAGGTCCCAAAACCAAAACATATCAAAACTCTCTGAACCATGTTTGGCCCATAGCCCAGTCCTGTCATTTTGGCCAGGTTGCATCGTTTACCACGGTGGAATTGACTTGCACAATGCCATTGGAGCTGGTATCTGTGTTCAAGACCCACTCAACCCAACCTCAAGTGCTGCGTCTCTGTCGATGCAAAGAAACACGTGTGAAAAGAGCCTTGCAGGATAGACATAATATGATTAATATGTATTTGATGATATTTGATGTGTTCCCAACTCACGGCAACTCCCCAAGAATGCTTTGGAACATCAGTGGACAAGTTTTGTTCGGAACCACAGCTTCAATTCAAAGTGCACGCACTGAGACTGGCGAGCAAAAAATCCCCGCTACAAATGGGGCCGCGATTTGAGTAGCTCCCTGCCAGGCTCCAAGCCACGTTGGTAGCACATCCACTGTGGCACGATCTCACACACTGCGTTGATACACTGAAGCTCACTTCCCCAAACCTGGGTGGCTCTGACAAAAGTCCATCTCTCCAAAAACGTCACCACGATTCACCACGTCACACCATGGAGAGGCATTCGACACCTTCAAAGCTGTCACTTAGAACACTCATACTTCTGGTAATGCCCAGCGACTGTGTCGTTGATGGCTGCCATTCCTCGGTACTGTTTCGGGGCACTTTTTGCGACTATCGTTGCAGAAAAAGCCACAACGACAATACTTTAAGGTCTATATAGGTCTATTAAGTCACGTGAGTCATGTGTGATTGATGATGCAACCAATTGCAACCATAACTTCAAGGTGTCATGACTCGGATCTCTGTATGGCTGCAGAACCTTTGCTGCCAAGAGACGAGACAAGACCTGCAAGGGGAAGGAGTTCATGGCGTAGAGGTTGGGCACACAAACAGAGCCCACATCATTGAAGCCACGACCTGCCAGTGGTTTCTACTTCTGGGATATGTTGTGACACGTCCGCCTACGGTTTTCGCATGATTTCCATTTCACTACAAGCAAATGATCTGGACAAAGGTCTTGTAGCATCTTGCAGCTATGTTGAACCGTCGGAGTTATGTGCAAAAGCAATTTCCCAAGTCTCAATTGTGCATCAGAGCCATAAGATCATTTGAGCCATCAGAATGATTTCAAACCAGCAAAGCCATGTCCTCCCCTGGGTATGTTCCTGGCTTGCCTGGGCATTCGCTTAAGAAATGCGTGGTGACGCCGTTGAACAAGTCCATGGCACTAGCACCAGATTGTTCCATTGCCACCTGGGATGATGGTGCACCATCCACTGATATGGCAAAAAACACCGCAGTAGTTGGGAGGAGATGGGTCCTGGGTATGGATCAACAATTTGAAAGCTCTACGATTGGATCAAAATTCAAGTGTATTCGACTCATCAAATTGCAGCCTGTTAATTGCTGAATTAATCGCATCAACCTAAACACACCCTAAATCACCCTAAATGGATCGAAATGGTTACAAATGCCCTACTAAACCATACGAAACCATGCTTTCTGCGTGGGGTTTCATATTAGGGGAAAGGGATGAATCGCCACGATGGCTGAATCTGTTGGACCGGCTCCTTTTTCAAAGCAGGTCCAATCTCCTGCCAAGGTGCTGTGTCGCAGGCCACCCACGGGTCCTCTGAAATGACTGAGATTTGGGACTGGAGCAGTTTGTCTTCAAATCTCCCTCTCAAGTTGCGGCCTCCGGAAACTTGTGTGCATACCTAGGCTGTAGACTCACGGGCATCCAGGGTCTTCCCTGTCCTGGCTGTTGCGAATGGCCTCATAGACGCAATCCTTCACAATCTGCGTCTGCGCCAAGTTCATCTCATGCATGCGGTTGCCAGCAAAAATGCCTGGAACAAAACATGTGAAACGGGTTGCAGTGAAAGCAATAACCATAAATGTGGAATGTGCATGAATGTGCTGGATGTTTGCAGGACAGCACTATAATATACTATAATAATACAGGTGCAAAACCCAACTGATCCCAAACAACGATATACCAAACTGCAGCTGATTATCTCCAAATTCTCTTTGCATTCCATGGTACAAGTAGAACATGCCTGCCCAGCAGGCCAGTGTAGGTATGGCACCAATTCTGGATTTCCACACTGATGCAGGCCTTAACGGACGTCAATGAAGCAAGTGTCATGTGTATTTCAGGGGTAAGCGTCCTAATTGAACATCACATTGAACATCAACCCAACTATTGGGGATATAATCTCCATCTGAATCCATCTGATACTTAACCCTGCATTCTCTAGGGTTTACTTGAGATTCGAGATCAACGTTGCATCATCCTGCTTGCAGTTCCTGCAATCCCTTAAAGACTGATAACACTTCGGACACCAAAAGATATCTCTATATGGGCATCTTACGATATGGGCATCCTACAACAGTGAGAGTTTCTCATCTGCCTTCAAGGCACAGTGGACTTCATCGTAGAGATGCAGGCAACTCTTGCAATCATCGAAATTGGTCTGCAAGGTCCGGCGGGGAAATACAATGAACTCCTGCGTTTGGAGAAAATCGTGGAGAAAACTGTGTTCACTGATCAATGGACTTGCCGCAAGGGTTCCTTACCATTGCTGTCAATTCGACTCTGTTTTGTTTTCAAGGATGTGAATCTCTGATGTACACATCGAAAGCAAACAAGACCTTGACTGGCGACTGGCATTTAACAATCCTGACACAACTTTATATCATTCATCTGCAGTAGCTGCAACGAGTGTCGCTGACTGAATGCCAAGCGTCAATGAACATTCACCTTGAAAGAACATCTACCATGTCTATCAATCATTTTCCAATTGAAGTAAAAGTAGCCTTCCGTACTGCCTACTGGGCCTACTGACATCTTGGAACAATTTGGTCCACGGGGTTTTACATACCATTTAATACCATGTTGATTCACACATGTATATACAGTATACATATCATCTAACAATATGATATATATATATATTATATACATTTAATATTATAATAAATATATAATATATAGTATTATATAATGAATATTATAGTATAATATAATATAGTATAATCTAGTCATGTGCAGCATCTTGGATACTCGAGGTCGCGTCCTGAACATAGCCTCGCAAGGTGAGGTGATCGCCCAAGGCCTCATTCCTGTAGCTGGTGGATTGGAAGCCTTAGGACATGGCAGAACCATGGCAGAATCTTAACGAAGTCGAATGAAGATGCTAACATGGCAGTGAATCCTAGTTATATCATGTTATATCATTATATCCATGTATCTCCTAGTCCTTCCTGATTTTTGGAAGATGATTTCGATTTCTGGAGATGGTTAAACCATCTCAAAGTCAGGCGATCCTCATCCAAGCAGCAATAATCGTTGGTGCACAGCTCCCAAAAACACTCCTAGCAAGATGTCTGGCAAACTGGTCAGTCTGGTTGGCGTTGTGAAGGAATAGATGGACATAGATGGCCGATAAATGCCCTGAAAAGTGAAGAAACCATGATGGCTCTATCTATTTAGCGGGGGATAAATGTTGATTGTTGATGGATTCGGGCAATATGATCATGTCTGTTAGAGGATTCTGCCAATCAAATCTCAGCTTCAGACGGCAACTGAGAATCCTTTTGTTCGTCAGACATCGTAAGACAATTGCGGCATGTCAAACAATGTAATGTAAGAACGTAAGACTCAACAACCTGCCTTGGAACGGATCTTGCTTCGAGCTCAAATCCCCCATTTCAAACCATGATGATATGCATGGTTCATCACGGTTCAATAAGATGCAATCTGATATATCAAGAGGTGGTCTTCAACAAAATGCACGAAAATAGATTATTCAATTCCTGTCCAACTCTGCCCTGGCCGCCTGCCTTGTAGATACGACATTCTTCCGTATCCTCCCAGTACGTCAGAAAGCTGCAGCGAGCTGTTTGCCGACCTCAGTGCACACCAGGTGTTTGTTTGTGAAATCTTTGGAACCATCTGCGTACCGCAGCATCTGCTGACAGTTGCATCAAGCCATGAAGACTTCATCTCCACAGGTGACGACATGGTGACACCCCAGTCGATCTGTGTCTCGCTGGGGCTTGGGCAAAGATCCGCGCAACCGAAGAGGTCCGCGAAGGTCCCAGAGCCCAGCATGGATTGGTCCGAGCACAGCCCAGAGCGGCCCTCATCGTCGCCGATGTAGGGCCGGACCTTTTCTGAACCAAGGATTCTTGGGATTTCCCAAGAAACCTTTGGATTAGGCTGCTATTTCCAATTTTCTGATATCTTGGTTTCCAATTGTTGCAATCATGTACCAGAATGTCTCCAAAAAAATCAGGTGGGCTGAGATCCAGCATAGATCCAGCAAGAGCCTACATTCATCTGCCATCTAAGGACATTCATCTGCCATAGATCCATAGATAAGGTCCTTACTAAGGACATCTACGGACTATGGTTCTTTGATGTTGCGATTTGGTTCATCTGACAGCATCCCTAGCCTGGGGCTCGCAATTGCAAGCGTCTCCACGGAGGTAGCCCGTGGGGACTCGATTCTGGTCCTAGGCCACTGTTTCGACTCGATCCAAATGTGCGCAGCGCGATCCAAGTAGGCTGTGTTGATCTACAAGATTCTACAAGTATACAGTAATATACAGTATATATGTAGGCTTCAGGGGATGAAAAAACGGATGGGTTCGCATCTTCGGCTGAGCATGGCTGATCCAAGGATCCAAGGAGGTGTTGAGGAAACCGTTGTCCAGAATGGTTGGAGCCTCGGTATGGAACAAACTTGAAACACCATGGAACGTCTAGAGTCGATTGGGATCATCTACCGATTGATGGATTGATTGAACTCTTGGGTGATGTTGGATGATCCGAGATTTAGTAGTTTCATCTAGGTTTGCTGCAGAACAGAACATTTTTTGCAGCTGACAATGCTCTGTGACATTACCAAGGCTGTGGCAAAGGGGTTTCCCAGCTGGTAGCCAGTGTCGGAGACTTCGCATGTCGCCACCTGCACCAATGGGTGGGAATTGGGTTGATGACCTCGAGTTGTTCAGCTGACCTACGCTCTTGCCATCCCTTTCCACATGGTCAGGATGAAACGCGCCTTCAAGAGATGCCTAAACAGGGTCTGGAAACTGACACTGGTCCCATAAATTAAAACCTCGCAAAATGATCTACAAAATCTACAACTTGGTGGCTTTTCCATGTCAATTTACCAGAGGGTTGCTTCCTTACAGTAGTACCTTAGTGATCACTTGGTCCAAGCGCAATCTCTCCAACAAACTCGTGCCTGGACTCGACGTGTTCCCAGTTGTGTGATATATCGATCAACGGTGAAATGAAAAATTCAACACGTTTTCTCATCTCGAGATAACATTCTGATCATTCTGTTGATTTTTGATGTTCAAAATCTTCAAAAGTCTTAAAAACTGGATCCAGGGTGGCAACTGCAACGACATCACCATCACCTTCAGCATCTTGGCGCAGTGTGATGTGTAGGCGCAGCCACGACAAATGTGGATCCTGGTGGTCATGAGAAATGTCACGAAGGTGTGACCACGTGCAAAGCAATTTGTGGCTGTCTATGTATCATATCACATCAAATCACATCTATATGCTTGGTGGCCAGATTGAGAGTGGACACCACAAGTGGCGATAGATCAATCTAAAGACCACCTCAAACATTCCTAAATCAGGCAGTAGTTTCTCTCACACTTCTCCTGCTGTTTTTCATGACGTCTCCCGTCCAACTGGACCCCCACTCATTTGGATGGATGGGGTCCATATAAGGAAAGGGTGTGACCATGTGTGCTTTAGACATGGACACAAAAAAAGGCTGAAAACAGCGATGCTGCGATGCTGTCTTGCCTGCAGCAGATCGTTGTTTGCATTTGAATTCTCTTTGTGGTGTACACAAAGTGCAGTCATAGTCACATGATGTCACAATGACTGTTCAATGACTCACGGAAGAAATTGCTAGGGACCGCGTGTTTCACACACAGTATGCACTCTGTTCGTGAGAAGCTCCACTTCCACGAGAGGAACAAAACGGGACCGCATCTGCAGTCGAAAGTTCAGCTCGGACCGCTCAGACCGCTCAGACAGGTGTTGGGGAGATTCCAAATCCGTTGTTTCCGTTGTTTCCGTTGGTTTTGGATGGAGAAAGCGACTCCGAACCCAAAGCATAAGCCTTTGGTGGGGAATGATGGTGCGAGTCCATCCCTGCCTCTTCCACTTCCTCGCTGATGCGTAGCAGACCAGTCATCTTCAGCACGAAGAAGCCGATGCTGGACAGGGAACCCGCCCACAGAATGATCATCAGCACCTGATACTTTCGGAATCTGGATTTCCAAAGATGTGTGCACAAAATAAACTGGAAATACTTGGAAGATCTTGGAAGGAGGTTCACAACATGAAGTCGCTTTTTAAACATTGATGCAATATGATGCACTATGATGCAATATGATGCAATATGCTTTCAAGGAACCATGATGAACTGGGCACCAATGGCAGGGCCACCAATGCCCGTCTTGCAACCACCGTCATCGTTCTCCATGCAGCCGAATCCACTCCAGCCATGGTAGTGATCGATGCCCCTACCCCAATCGAAGAGCCCAGCAGCAATCACTCCCCATGCTCCGCAGAAGCCGTGCACAGGGCTGGCATCCACTGGGTCATCAATATGCAACTTTTGGAGGAGCATCGATGCGGCCTGGTAGACAAAGGCTCCAATCAGTCCAGTGGCAAAGGCACTGCCACTTTCCATGTTGCCACAGCCTGCAGTGATGGAGACCAAGCCTGCAAGGATGCCATTGCAGAGAGCACCAACATCATACTTCTTCATGATGAAGTATCGGAGCATGAAGACTGTGATGCCACCTGTGGCTGCCGCCAAGGTCGTGTTCATTGCCACCTGTGCGGCCAAAGCACCATCAGATCCAGATTTCATGGTCAGAGTAGAGCCAGGGTTGAAGCCATACCAACCAAACCAAAGAGCGAAAGTGCCCAGCACCACCAAGGGCAGGTTGTGACACTCGAACTCCTCTGGATTGGTGAAGCGCCCCTTTCGAGGCCCCAAAATCACGGTGCCGGCCAGACCGCTCACACCGCCCGTGAGGTGAACCACTCCACTGCCTGGGACGGTCAAATTTCCTGACTCCGAACACAAGAAGCATGTGATGAGCAAATGCTCGAACCATTTAAACATGATAGCCTAATTGGATCTAATTGGATCTAATTGGATCTAATTGGATCTAATTGGATCTAATTGGATCTAATTGGCTGTTTAGACTTGTTTAGACCAGTTTAAATTTATTCCGGAAATGGAACGCTCATGCAGTCCATAAACGTGCTTGAACTGTTTGTGGTTGAAAAACTGTTCAATGCTTGGACGGTTGAATGTTCGAGCACGTTCGCACCGACTGCCTGCAAAATCCATGTAGCCCACGTCAAAGATCTTGGAAAGCCAGCCACCACCCCATGTCCAGGCAACAATGACAGGGTAGATGAAACTGGTCATGAAGAATGCAAAGGCAGCATAGGTGGGGCTCTTCACACGCTCTGCCACTGCTCCGCTCACAATGGTAGCACCCGCTGTGCAAAACGCCCACTGAAAGAACCAACCTTGGATGCCCCCCAAGTGGATTCCCAAGATAAACATGTTCCTGTATTATCATGTATTATCCATATTCCTATTGGATCCTATTGGCCTATTGGGCTAACGTGGATGGGATTAATCATGATTCTCCTGGAAAATAGCTAGTCAATGCTAGTGATCTTCAGCAAATCCAGTCAAATCCAAGCAACTCAGCATGGTGCTCTGGCATCCATCAGAGGTGCACTCAACTGGTGTGATCACTCCAGTGGTCTTGTCCTGGGTGTAGAAGTTGGAACCGAAAAATCCGTCAGTTCCGATGAAGCCGTTGTCATTTTGCGCGCCATATGCAAAGGCCCAGCCCAGACTCCACCAACCCAAAGTTCCACAGCACACGTTGACCAAATTCTTCATCAGCACGTTGGAGGCATTCTTTGCCCGGCAGCATCCAGTCTCCAGCATGGCGAAGCCAGCATGCATGAACATCACAAGAGCTCCACAAAGGCAAAGCCAAGCAGAGTCTAGGGCTCCACCCAGGCCCAGATCAGCCTTCTGCAACTTGGCAATCTTCTCATCAATGGTCTCAGTTGTCTCACTTTGAAGGTGGCGAGGCACTTTCAGCTGTTCAATCACTTCCCGCTGGGCAACCACCTCAGCTTTCAACTCCTCCAATTGCTGAAGCAGATTATGCTCCAAGGACAAGGAGTCTGCTGCTGCGGCTGCCAGCAAGCCTGCCAGACAGGTACACGTCAACTTCATGGCTCAGCGGAAAGGGCTGTTGAAAAGCAGATCGCCAACCTTGCTACGGTCGCTGTGCTACAAATGTCTGCGGCAAAAGCTGTTGCTCACGTTGTTCACGTTGCAATCACTAGGGAACGCCTGTTTTCACGTTCCATCGTCAAACCTTTCAAACCGCCGCTAGGACATGCTGGCTGTGGTGGCGTCATGGGGGCATGGGCCCATGTGACGACTTGAGTCGTCCGGTCCTCATATGTCGCAAGGGATCCAGGGTAGTCCAGGTGGAGCTGTCATGTTGAACCTCTGAGGCCTGCTATTCGCAGATTTTGAGAATTTCCCCTGGACCTGTATGATGAATTATGAATATTATGATGATATGATATGATTATATATGATTTTGGGATGATTCCAAGCTGGGCATTGATGCTGCTTGGGACAGCTTTGGAGTTTGCGGCGCGGCCTAGAAATGCCGTGGTTCTGACACATTTACTTGTTGGAAAAAGTGATGCCCATGTACATTGTTACTCTAAGAGTCACTCAATTCACTCAATTGCAGGTCGTTCCAAAAAAAACTGCAACCGAAGCCCAGCTCAATGTTGAGCCTCAAAGCAGGGGCAAAACAGTCCATATCGCGCAGAGCCTCATCGCCAGCTCACTGCATCAATGGAGACAACATGAGACAACAGCATTTTGCCACATGACTGTGCCTGAAAATTGGTTATCCCAAGGTATACACCAAAATGATCTTAATATATGGCCGCCTGATGGAACCAATATGAAACAATGATGATTCTGATCAAGCATCATGTTTGGGGGTTACTCAATTTTCAGACAAACCCACATGGAGACGGCAATGGGAAGCGAGGTGATATTGCCCAAAACTCCACAAATCCACCATTCAAAAGGTGGTATGTCGCGGCTTTCTGGAAGGCAACAAGTTCAAATTTGTGCTTCAGTCATCTGCAGTCATCTTCAGTCTACCACTGTTTTACAGGCGATTCCATCGGCAATTCCATCGCCAAAAAACACTTGTGCTGGTAGAGGATGTTGTAGAGGTTGGAAATTGTTAGAAGTCTCATGCAGTAGGCGCAGTTACCTCAGCCGAGCAAAGGGCCTGGGCAAGGTCCACAGATACATCCTGTGATACTGTGATACTATGTGATACTCGATCTAGGGACCCTGTCAGAGTTAATGCATGTTAATGCACGTTAATAATGCCAAGCCAGCAAACACTCTGCAAAGTAGAAGCCAAATGGGTCGTGTTTGTGCTCCATCACGCAATACCTTGGCTCGAATTTTTTCGTGGGCAATCCATTGCACACTGCCTTTGTCAATCCATCCTTTGTCAGTCCCTAAGTTGGGGAACTGTGGTCTTTGCCAAGACCTTCAAGAATATTCAAGAATAAGCATTCCCCTCTGGTTTGCAGGCTTCCAGCTCATTCGTCTCTTAATCTGTGGAATACCAATATCTCTTGATGCAATCGCGCAGCTGGAAGAGGCTCTCACGTTTGAAGAGCACTGGTGACTTTTGCAGGATTTGATCGTCATTGATTTTGATGGCCCGGACACCATCCTCGGGTCAAGAGTCATATCAGGCATGGTCAGGGAATTCCCCAAAGTCATAAATGATTGATGTGCGACACAAGACAAAGGAGATCAAAAGAGCAAGCCCCCGTCTCCGCATTTTTGCTGACAATCTCTTGAACCGTCCCCAAACCAGGACACTACTATTGACATTGATACGGTCTCCATGGTGTATGTAATAAGTTTCGAAAACCCCCCTACCATGCGTTCCCAGAAAAAAACAGCGCTTCTCTTGGCGATACTCTTGCACCCAAAACGGATAGTGCCAGACCTCCGTCTGTTTTCCAGTGTGCCACAGTAAATGAGACCCTTCTTTTTTGCATCTGAAGGTCTAAGGAAGTGATCCAAAGCTCTTGCAGTTCATGAGTGAAGCGGACAGTGCGACGGCAGCCCAAGAACCAGGGATGCAAGGCATCCCATTCCTAAGCCAATCAGCAAGGAGAATCATTGATGAGGTCATCAAACAGTCCATGACACCTGGCTTCTGCTGTACCTGCAAAGGCTTTCCTCTATGTAAATACTGCATATATGCTGCATATGTATCTCCAGTGTGTGGAGTTTTTGTTGCTGTCATGCCCTATGGATCCACCTTCGTGATTGGATCCTATAGGGATGTCCCCTCGGCAGAGACTGCTATCGAGACACCAAAACTCCGTTGTCGCAACCTTCGTATTCCTGAGACGACAGGGACGACAGTCTCAGGGTGCTTCTAGACTTGCATGATACAACGTCCTCCCAGAAAGAATATCAGAGTTATTTGAGAAGCCATGCTGATGAGTAAAAGTCTCCACTAAGCAGTGACCACTAATGACAAGTAGACGGTACAGGACTCGCCAGCTTACACTAACTAAATCAATTGCATGCAAGTCACTTGCAGGATCACAATTTAGTGCAGTTTAGTACCTCTTCCAAAAAATGGCCATCAAGCCCTTACCTGACCTGAAGAATAGCTGACCATTTGACAGGACGATGCACCAACTGTCACACCGAGGTGCATGAGGCAAGTGATGACCTGAGTTCTTCACAGGCAGGCGCTGAAACGTGCAAGTGGTGACAGTGGTTGGAACCGTGTGGAACAGTAACCATCATTGGGAAGCGCGGCTTTGTTTGACTGGCAGTGGACCGTGAAAGCAGTCGTTGATGATACTACTACCATCTAGGATCATACAAGGACCATGTTGTATCATTTTGTTGCATTTTTGTAAGTAGTATCAGGTAGTCCCACCATTGCGCCGCTTGGAAGCACGTCTTTTATATAGCTGAGGTACTGGTGTGGGCAGAGATCTTGAGGGCAGAGCGGCCCGCATTCCTCAGCAAAAATGAAAAAAGATCGATGAGAAGATTTGGGACGTAAGCGCTTGAAATAATGTGGTAAAACAATGTCATAAACATTATTATCGGGGGATAGTTTATGAATCCCACCGATAATGTCAATCCCCTAGTCATCACTATTTTTATCGGAGGGATTCAAACCATTCCCAGTGATGGGTGGTTTCCAGGTGCATCAGCCAAAGGGCTGAATGATAAGGCTGCAGTTTTGTCGTCCATCCCAAGTGCAAGTACTCCGCCCTAAGGTTCCCATGCGAATAATGCAGTGCACCTGGCGGCTGCAGACCTATGAGGCACCTATGGACCCATGCAGTCCGCTTTTAGCATCTCATTTAAGGATCAAAATCAAAAGTTTGAGCTGCTGTTCTGTTCAGCAGTCTGTGCATACATCAATGCAAGTTCATTCTCGTCAACAAGACTGACTCAACATACACGTCCCTGTCCCTTCCCTTTTGGCGGCATCGATCAGCCTCCGGTCCCTGACCACGCACCGTGGCGCGGGAGTCCTCAACACCATCCAGAGGACACGCAGCATACTCCTGGAGTCAGGGAACGGATCTGACGCTATGCTATCCATGTGAAAGATGTTAGAGATTGTGACATCCTGCAACAATCCACCAACAACTTGTGGGGCACTAGGGGCACTGCTCACAAGGGCTTAGAGGCTTACTTCTAGATTGATGGAACCACGGATGAGCTACTGATGTTGCCGGAATGTACATCAACATCTACCCGGGAAGCCTTCCCTACTGGAACGCCGTACATCAACGACCGGATTAATTCTCGACTGCCATCAATGACCCACGCAAAAACTGAAGGACAATAATTGGGTTCCAGTCCTCCAAACAACATATGGCATACATATGGCATCCATGCAACATCCGGCATTGGAATCTGTTTGATTTCGGAATCATCCAATCTCACCCCCCCACCTGGAAGGTCCAGGAAAGGATGTCCACGGACCTTCAGTGGGTGCTTCCATACACTTTCCGGGTCTTCAAAACCTACCACTTGTTGCATTCGAAACGAGCCGAACATTACTATATGATTATATTATATGATATTATATGATATTATGTATCTTCCACACTCCAAGTAGTCAAGTAGAACTGGTATGAATATGTATGAATATGTAGGAATTATCATGAATTGTTCCAATTGCCATCGGAATGAAAACAGCAGCAACCCTCAACAGTCGCTGACTGCCGAGCAGCTGGAATTGGAAGTAGCTGGTGCTGCTGCTGAAACCGACCCAGGCCCTTCCTGGGCTGGCGCCCTTCTCATCATAGGCTTCCGGGTCTGGTTGCCTTGCCCAGTTGGCTTGTGGAGTTCACCGCACAACATGCTTTGGATCATGGATGTTGCAAGTTTGCACAAAGAGCTCAGAATAGCTCAGAATCAGTGATAGATTGGGCGCTGTAACATCTTGTAACTTTTAATACTATCATGTTGGTATATTTTGGTCCCCTCTCTTGAGGTTCTCCGTCAGCTTGTTTGGAGCCCCAGAGACGTGGTTTTTACGGCCTGGGTGTGTTTGCAGAAGCTTTCTCTGTGCCATCCACATTGACGATGTAGGAAAGATCCTGAGTCAAGTTGTGAAAGAACTCAGAAACTACGAGAAATAACTTTCACCAAACTTTCTCCGTAGAAGCTTCAGACATCAAGTCTTACAATTCGCATCCTGTGGCCAGGCCGGTGACCTTAAATGTCCCAAAAAAAAGGGGAAAGAGGGAAACTAGGACAAGAGAGGTTGGAGGTTAGGTGGGAGGCTGTTATGTTTTTGTTCAATCTTGTAATCTGAAATGTCTGACTGTTTCTTTTTGATTAATTATCTTGCTAAATGTTTTGTTGATTGTTGTAATAATGCTTGTGTGTTATGTTTTTAGGTTTATGTTCAATGTTTTATCGTTGTCTTTGATGTTTTATGTGTTGTATGTTCTGGGGATTTTTTGTCCCTAACTTTTCTGGGACTTTCTGTGTTTGGATGAGGGGGATAATTGTTTAGACTGTTAGGGTTTTATGTTTGTGTTTGTCAGTCAGGAGATTGAAAAGAGGGGAAGACGTCATTAAGATAATCTATGGTTTCTTGGTGTTTTATCCTGTTCTTTTCTTTATCACTTAATACAGGTTGCTCTTTTTGTTTAGTGTTAGAGTTGTTCAGATTGTTCTTATGTCGTTGGCTTCTTTCGTGTCTCAACATTTTATTTCTTGAAATGTCAATCTTACAAATTGGACATTCAACTTTTTCTTTCTGTTTCTCAAGTTTTTGTTCTTTGTATTGTTCATAATGTTCCTTTGCCTTTTGTCTCAATTCTTCTCTATGGTTTTCTCTATATCGTTGTTTGTATTCAGAAAAATTTGACATAGTGCCTTTCCCTCATCAAATTTGTCCAATGGTTTAACTGTTCTACATGTTGAACATTTCTTGCCTTTATCTTCACTCATTGAAGTATTATGGGACTATATCTTTAGATAGGTTTATGGGTCCTAAAGATTACTTCATAATATATTTTGTTAAGATATTATGAATTAATCTTTTATGCTTTCCACTTTCCTATTCCATCCCACCAGTTTTCAATTACTCTCATTTGTGTTAAGCACGGTTTGTTTGTATCGTTTAGTTCATCCATCGCTATTGATAAAAGAGTTACTGTATATTAATAACCATAGCGTAATAACCACCTCTTTTATTCAATTCTTTTCCGCATTGTATGATTATACCTTTATTGGTTAGGTTTTCATACATTCGTTTGATGATGTCAGGTTCTTTTTGTTTCCATATCTTAAACCGTTCAACATTACTTTCCTTAACAAATCTATCAAGGACAGATTTCCAAAAATCAAAGTCTTCACGAGATGGTAAGGGATGACACCTTACAAAGTCTCTAATCTCTTCATCTTCTTTTTCTATTGCTTTTCTTTCCCAATCATCGTCCTCGCTTTCACTACCAAAGTCAGCATATAAACCGATATTACCTATATCTATAACCTCATTTTTTGCTCTACTCATTTTCTCCTATTATATATAGTTTTTTTTCTTTAAGTATTTACCACTTTTTGTAGATACTCTTTTATTTCTTCTACATTAAAATATGTGTCATAACCATTGAAAAGTTCTTCGGTGTATTCACGCAAAAAAAAAAATGTCTTTTACCTTAAACTCCCTATTTCTGAATGTATAAGTCCAATCGTTTTGAGGAAACCACCACTCCCGTTTGTTCTTACAATACTTCATATATGTAAGGTCGTGAAAGTTTTTAAGGAAGTGATAGGTAGTTTTCCACTCCCTTTTCAAAAGACTTAATCGCCATGAAGAACAATTTGTCGTGTTTGAATTCTTGCTTGAGTTTGAATGTATCCATTAAAACATCAATTTCTCTTTTCATTTGCCGAGTGTTTGTTCGGTTCGTGTTGGATAAATAAATAGGTAATTTCTCCATCCTTGTTTTAAAGAAATAGATTGTCTTTTCTACTCTCGTCAGTTTTTTATCATTAAAATAGTCAAAATATCCCTACCCCTATAGAGGGGGAGGGCGGGGGGGGACAAAACCAACCTGTCGAATTCCATTTTTTTTGCTTGGAACCCCTGGGATAGTGCTCCAACCCCTCGAATGGAATTGTAAAGTAACATTTATTATCAAGCCTTGGGCACTGGTTTGAAAATACTTGCGCTTAGCTCCGGAGGAGCTAAGCGCAAGTATGATCACGGCAGCGCAAATTTTTGGAGGGATGCCATCCCTACACATGTGCTGCTTCAGTCTGACATGTGCTTAGCTCCTCCGGAGCTAAGCACAAGTATTTAATTTTCACCTGCTTGCCATTGACATGGAATGATGAGGAATATTGATCATTGAGAAAACATGATTGCAAAAATGGAATTTTAAAATGAAATTTCAGTACGACTCCCCCCCCTCCAATTCCATTTTTAAGAGGGTAGGGATGTCAAAATGATAATTGAAATCTATGTATCTACGCTCCCTATCGTTTAAGTCTTTACATTTTGAACAGTGAAGGTTGTAATCACATATCTCATCACAAATTCCAGCAGGAAAAATGTTGTTCAATAAAACCTTAATGTCAGTCATTTCTTTCTTACAACATCCACAGTTTTTATAAGTAAATAGCATCCTCTTACTATATATAGTCATTTTTTCTTTAAGTAGTTTTTGGGGTCTCTTTCAGTTTTTGGGTTTTCTGTTGTCCCTTATCCACTGTAATCGTTTCATTCGTTGTGTTTCACTACTATCACTTTCATATTCTTCATCTTCAGGTTCTTCTTTCTTGTCTTCATTTCTTAGTTCTTGTATCATCCGTCTTATTTTGTCTATACCGTGTTCTCTGTCAAATCCTTCCATTACATTTCAAACTTTTTCAAGACCGATGTGTCGTTCAATCTCTTCGTCTGTCATATTTCTAAATTGTTCTTTATATTCTTCATCATACTCTTCTCCGTCTTCATCTTCAAAGTTCATAAACATTTCCATTCGTTGTTTTTCCATTTCCAAAAGTTTGTTTTCCATTTGTTGGAATTTCATTTGTTTCTTGCCACACTTTCCACAAACATTCACGAAGGTTTTTAACAAATAATTCCAACTAGGTTTTTTGTAATCACCATTGTTTAAAGTGATACACTCGCTCATAATACGACATCCACAGTCAAATTTAGTCATCTTACTTATTCTTACTATATATAGGTATTTTTTCTTTAAGTATATTTTGTATTGCTGATAATTTTAAAAATCTAATATTATAATATATGGCAAGGAGACTATCAAGAGATGACATCATAAACAATGTCTATTACAATCTTGAAACTGGTTTCGGTTCAATCAATGAGACCCTTAAGAAAGCAAAGGAACAAGACCAGACCATCAACAGGGTGGATGTGGAAAATTTTATGAGGAAACAACCCAACAAACAGATTAGAAAATACAGGGGTTCAAACTCCTACACCGCACCATTCGCAAGGTTTGAGTATCAAATTGACATAATGGATATGAAACCCCTTACCAAAGAACCAGAAACAAAAATTCCCGTCAAGAACGGTGAGCCGAGATACGCAATGGTGGTCATAGATATTTTTAGCAAGTTGGCTAATATCGTCCCTATGAAGGAGACCGGACCAAATGCCCTATCGGCACTAAAAGAAAGTTTCAAGAAAATGGGTTTTCCAATGTCCATTTACAGTGATAATGACCGTGCCTTCCAAGCAGGGGTAAAAGAGTTCTTTGAGAAGGAAGGCATCACTCATGTCGTCACCCTCACTCACCCTAATGTTGTGGAGCGTTTCATCAGAACAATGAAGAATATGATACATGATAGGGTGAGGTTTAATCGTGGTAGTTGGACTGTTATGTTGTCCAAAGCGTTGGATAAATACAACGACACCGTCCATTCATCCACCAAAATGAAACCCAAGGATGCCCAAGACGACAAGAACCATTTAGATGTCAGGGTTAATTTGACAAGGAGGGAAAAGAACACCCGCAAATACCAAGAGGTGAAAGTGAATGATATGGTGAAGGTCTTTGAGAAGAAAAAAGACAACTACACCGAGAGGAAGGAGTATAACTCAAAATGGAGCAATCAATCCTAGAAAATCGTCAAGATAGAATACGATGACGTCGGAAACATCTTTCCTTTTCAGCCTTTGCCCAGCCTCCCCAACCTCTCATTCAAAGGAACCTTTGAATGAGAGGTTGGAGAACCAGCACTACGACGCTCCCTGTGCTCAACAACGTCCAACAAGGTTTAACGGTCTGCGCCGGAAAAGCCCTTGCGGGCTGTGTTCGTGCATGACCGCTTGGAAGGACGAATCGGCCTGGCACAAGCTCAACCTGCCTCACAAAGATGCATCTGCGGAATGTCGAAGGAAAGGGGCAATACATCCGTTCAGTCAATTTGTGCCAAACTGGCTTTGGTATTGAAGGATGCTTGATATGCAAAACCAAACAGGAACCACAGCGCCTAACCTCAATCAATACATGAATTTGAAGCAAATCATTCGACATCTTTGAACAACAGCTTGGTAGAGTTTGAACCTGAACCTACACATAGAAACTCTGACCACCTCAACAATTACCCCCTTCATTCAATCCAAACAATGCAGTGAAAGTTAAGGGGAAATAATCCCCAGAACCCCCCACAGGAAAAAACATCAAAACCAACGAACACACATTGAACACCAACATAAAATCATAACACCCAAACATTATTACAACAACCTCAACAAAACATTTAGCAAGATAATCAAAAAGAAACAGTCAAACATTTCAGATTACAAGATTGAACAAAAACATAACAGCCTCCCACCTAACCTCCAACCTCTCTTGTCCTAGTTTCCCTCTTTCCCCTTTTTTCCCAAGCATCTACGGGCACAACAATGACCCGACGACCATCAAGCTCCACGGATAGAAGTCCTCCCCACCAGTTGCTGAAACTGTGGGTCGCTAAGATTGCTCACTCTTCAACTAAGATACATCAACCAGAAAATGTGTGAAGCGAAGATATTACAGCGCAAGCGCAATTTGTCCCATGTTTTGCATGCAATGACGCTGTCACAAACCTGACAACGACTGAGCATCCCGTTGCGCCTGCTCGGCCGCTGTGTTGCATTCGCAGAAAGTCACCAGTGGCATCAGAATCGAAATCGTTACCATAGCGGTCCCAACGGACATTCCTCCCAGGAACATCTATTAGTCCAGTGACAGGGACAACAGAAGATGCTCAGTCGGTAAGTCGGGCACATGTCCTCGCGTAGACTATCTGATTTGACATCTTGACTTGTGGGCAAAATGGGCAAAGCAGTGCAACTGTCGTGGTCGGATTCTCTCCTGACATCATAGACGATGCGGACGACGTGAGTCCCCTCTTGCAAGGGAGGAATGTCATCTGTGTAAGCCTTAGACTGTGCAAGCAGGACAATCTAACCTTGATTCAGCCTTGATTCAGCTTTGCTGAGTGCATGCGCGTACCAATGTCCAATTGGATCCAATACCTCGACCGTTGAAAGCTCGAGCTCTCAGCACCAAGTTGCGATGGATGAAAGCCGATGATCTGCAGAGTTGGGCTCACCTACGGTGGGTGAAAGGTGAAAAAAGAATCGTGGTTCTGCACTAGCAGATGTGGATGTGGAAAGTGGTGATACCCTGATGAATATACCAAAAACATCCAAAAACAAACACAGACTGGATGGTTTCGGATGTTCATGTACCATCATGTACCATCATGTACCAAAGTATCGAGGCAAATACTTTTGACCCACACTGTGACACACCAATTTGATAATGGATGATACAAAATGAAACAATCAGAATGCCATGTGTATCAAGATTGGCATGGCATGATCTGCAGCCGGGTGATCCAAACCAGGCAAAGCAAAGAATAGCAACATCTTCAACATATTGCAACATCTTCAGTAACATTGGCACCACCTAATTGAAAACCATTAAAAAAAAAGATCAAAGAATATCAAAGAATCCTATGTATCAGCATGGTTGCATCATAGCAAGTGTAATTCATGGCACTTCACTTCTACTATATTCTACTATCTTCTACTTATTCAATATAGACATGGATCAGAAGTCTACGATCCAACACCTAATTATCGTATCTGCGGCTTCACCCAGCATGGCCTTTGCGAGGTGGGACGTGCACGCTGATGTGGTTGCCACTAAGCTCACCAAGATCAGGGTTCCGGTACATGTCGAACTCCACTGCCAGACCTGGAGATCACTGGAGATCCGGAGATCCGGTCGCCCTGGGGCCCTGGGCCGAATCACAGGATCAACGGCCAAGCTGCTGTAGCGAAAGCCATATCCATTGCCAGAAATATCATTGCCTTGGATCTTCACTGGAGACCATCCATGACCATCCTTGCAACCCCCACAAACCATCAGGTATGGTCCAACCTTAGAAGATTACCATAAGCTAAACTATAATCGTACCAACATTTTCCAACCATC